CATACTATCAAACTGCTACCTAATACTGATAATGCTAACCCAAATTGAATTACTTCCAATGGAAATTAAACAAATGTTGGTCCAAAATGTGATTTCCCTATATAAACTATAGTAAAGTTTACCCCCTCCCCAGGGGGAAACGTGAGACCCCAGGGTCATGAAATTCACAATTTTGGTAAAGCACCTTAAGACCCTTCCATCTATGAAGAGTATTTGATTTTACCATATCTGGGTCTTGAGAAGAAGATTTTTGAAATTTTAGTCAATACAACCCTTTTTGGCCCCGCCCCTCATGCCCCTGGAGGCTTGGGACTAAACTGGCCACTATTTTTGTTGACCTTTGTCCATGGAAGGTTCCTGCAAAATTTCATTGAAATTGGTTCAGGGGTTTGGAGAAAAAGAATTTTTAAATTTTAGTCAATTGGACCCTTTTTGGCCCCCGCCCCTCATGCCCCTGGAGGCTTGGGAGGGGGCTTGCCACTATTTTTGTTTACCTTTGTCCATGGAAGATCCCTTCTAAATTTCATTGAAATTGGTTCAGGGGTTCTGGAGAAGAAGTCGAAAATGTAATTTGTTTACGGACGCACGACGGACGACGGACGACGACGGACAAAAGGTGACCTAAAAACCACATAAGGTAGTCTCTACACGTAAAAGGGTGAAGGATCTGAGGCAGGTAAAATGAAAGAGATGGGAAGTGAACTGAGAAGGGCTCCATGCACACATAGAAGGATAAAGGTCCTAGGATCTGGTAAGAGTACACAGAGGGGAGAGGTGACCTGATGTAGCAACAGTATACAGAGAGGAGATGTAACCTGATGTAGCAACAGTATACAGAGAGGAGATGTGACCTGATGTAGCAAAAGTACATAGAAAGGAGAGGTGACCTGATGAAGCAACAGTATACAGAGGGGAGAGGTGACCTGATGTAGCAACAGTACAAAGAGGGGAGAGGTGACCTGATGTAGCAACAGTATACAGAGGGGAGAGGTGACCTGATGTAGCAACAGTATACAGAGGGGAGAGGTGACCTGAGGTAGCCACAGTGCAGAGAGGTGAGAGGTGACCTGAAGTAGCCACAGTATACAGAGGGGAGAGGTGACCTGAGGTAGTCACAGTACATTGAGGGGAGATGTGACCTGATGTAGCAACAGTACATAGAAAGGAGAGGTGACCTGATGTAGCAACAGTATACAGAGGGGAGAGGTGACCTGAGGTAGCCACAGTGCAGAGAGGGGAGAGGTGACCTGAAGTAGCCACAGTATACAGAGAGGACAGGTGACCTGATGTTGCAACAGTATACAGAGAGGACAGGTGACCTGATGTAGCAACAGTATACAGAGAGGAGATGTGACCTGAGGTAGCAACAGTACATAGAAAGGAGAGGTGACCTGATGTAGCACCAGTATACAGAGAGGAGAGGTGAACTAAGGTAGCCACAGTACATAGAGGGGAGAGGTGACCTGAGGTAGTCACAGTACATAGAAAGGAGAGGTGAACTGAGGTAGCCACAGTACATAGAAAGGAGAGGTGACCTGATGTAGCAGCAGTATACAGAGAGGAGAGGTGACCTGAGGTAGCCACAGTACATAGAAAGGAGAGGTGAACTGAGGTAGTCACAGTACATAAAGAGGAGAGGTGAACTGAGGTAGCCACAGTACATAGAAAGGAGAGGTGACCTGATGTAGCAGCAGTATACAGAGAGGAGAGGTGACCTGAGGTAGCCACAGTACATAGAAAGGAGAGGTGAACTGAGGTAGTCACAGTACATAAAGAGGAGAGGTGAACTGAGGTAGCCACAGTACATAGAAAGGAGAGGTGACCTGATGTAGCAACAGTATACAGAGAGGAGAGGTGACCTGAGGTAGCCACAGTACATAGAAAGGAGAGGTGAACTGAGGTAGTCACAGTACATAAAGAGGAGAGGTGAACTGAGGTAGCCACAGTACATAGAAAGGAGAGGTGACCTGATGTAGCAACAGTATACAGAGGGGAGAGGTGACCTGACGTAGCCCCAGTATACAGAGAGGATAGGTGACCTGACATAGCCCCAGTATACAGAGGGGAGAGGTGACCGGATGTAGCCCCAGTATACAGAGAGGACAGGTGACCTGACATAGCCCCAGTATACAGAGGGTAGAGGTGACCTGATGTAGCAACTGTATACAGATAGGAGGTGACCTGAGGTAGCCACAGTACATTGAGGGGAGAGGTGACCTGAGGAAGTCACAGTGCACAAAGGTTAGAGGTACCACGTGGTAGCCGCAGTGCATAAAGGGAAGAGGTGACATGAGGTAGCCACATTACACAGAGGGGAGTGGGGACCTGAAGTAGTCACAGGACATTGCGGGAAGAGGTGACCTGAGGAAGTCACAGTGCACAAAGGTTAGAGGTACCTCGTGGTAGCCGCAGTGCATAAAGGGGAGAGGTGATCTGAGGTAGTCACAGTACATTGAGGGGCGAGGTGACCTGAGGTAGTCACAGTAAATTGAGGTTAGAGGTACCACGTGGCTACCTCAGGTCACCTCCTATCTGTATACAGTTGCTACATCAGGTCACCTCTACCCTCGGTATACTGGGGCTATGTCAGGTCACCTCTACCCCCTGTATACTGGGGCTATGTCAGGTCACCTGTCCTCTCTGTATACTGTACTTCAGGTCACCTTTCCTCTCTATTATCTCAGATCCCCTCTCCCCTCAATGTACTATAGCTACCTCAGATCAACTCTCCCCTTAGTGTACTGTGGCTACTTCAGGTCACCTCCTATCTTTATACAGTTTCTACATCAGGTCACCTCTACCCTCGGTATACTGGGGCTATGTCAGGTCACCTATCCTCACCTCAGGTCAACTCTCCCCTCTGTGTACTGCTCAATGTACTATAGCTATCTCAGATCCCCTCTCCCCTCTATGTACTGTGACTAGCTCAGGTCACCTCTCCCCTCAATGTAGTGTGACTACCTCAGGTCACCTCTCCCCTACTGTAGCTTGGTACATAGGGATTTATATGTATACCAAGCTACAGTATACATATAAATCTTTATGTACCAAGCTACAGTATACATATAAAGAGGTGACCTGAAGTAGCCACAGGACACAGAGGGGAGAGTTGAACTGAGGTAGTCACAGTATACATAGCGGAGAGGTGACCTGAGGTTGGTAAGAGTACACAGAGGGGAGAGGTGACCTGAGGTAGCCACAGCACATTGAGGGAAGAGGTGACCTTAGGAATTCACACTGCACAGAGGGGAGAGGGACCACGTGGTAGCCACAGTGCATAAAGAGGAGAGGTGACCTGAAGTAGCCACAGGACACAGAGGGGAGAGTTGAACTGAGGTAGTCACAGTATACATAGGGGAGAGGTGACCTGAGGTAGTCACACTACATTGAGGGGAGAGGTGACCTTATGTAGTGTGACCTGAGGTAGTCACAGTACATTGAGGTTAGAGGTACCACATGGTAGCCGCAGTGCATCTGACATAGCCCCAGTATACAGAGGGTAGAGGTGACCTGACATAGCCCCAGTATACAGAGGGGAGAGGTGACCTGAGGTGGCCACTGTACATAGAGAGGAAAAGTGACCTGAAGTAGCCACAGTACACAGAGGGGACCTGAGGTAGTCACAGAACATTGAGGGAAGAGATGACCTTAGGAATTCACACTGCACAGAGGGGAGAGGGACCACGTGGTAGCCACAGTGCATAAAGGGGAGAGGTGACCTGAAGTAGCCACAGGACACAGAGGGGAGAGTTGAACTGAGGTAGTCACAGTATACATAGCGGAGAGGTGACCTGAGGTTGGTAAGAGCGCACAGAGGGGAGAGGTGACCTGATGTAGCAACAGTATACAGATAGGAGGTGACCTGAGGTAGCCACAGTAGGTTGAGGGGAGAGGTGACCTGAGGAGTCACAGTGCACAAAGGTTAGAGGTACCACATGGTAGCCACAGTGCATAAGGAGGAGAGGAGACCTGAAGTAGCCACAGTACACAGAGGGGACCTGAGGTAGTCACAGAACATTGAGGGAAGAGATGACCTTAGGAATTCACACTGCACAGAGGTGAGAGGTCCCACGTGGTAGCCACAGTGCATAAAGAGGAGAGGTGACATGAAGTAGCCACAGTACACAGAGGGGACCTGAGGTAGTCACAGCACATTGAGGGAAGAGGTGACCTTAGGAATTCACACTGCACAGAGGGGAGAGGGACCACGTGGTAGCCACAGTGCATAAAGGGAAGAGGTGACCTGAGGTGGCCACTGTACATAGAGAGGGAAGGTGACCTGAAGTAGCCACAGTACACTAAGGGGAGAGTTGATCTGAGGTAGCTATAGTACATTGAGGGGAGAGGCCTGAGGTAGTCACAGTACATTGAGGGGCGAGGTGACCTGAGGTAGTCACAGTAAATTGAGGTTAGAGGTACCACGTGGTAGTCACAGTGCATTAGAAAGGAGAGGTGAACTGAGGTAGTCACAGTACATAAAGAGGAGAGGTGAACTGAGGTAGCCACAGTACATTGAGGGGTGAGGTGACCTGAGGAAGTCACAGTACATAGAGGGGAGGGGTGACCTGAGGTGGCCACTGTACATAGAGAGGAAAGGTGACCTGAAGTAGCCACAGTACACAGAGGGGACCTGAGGTAGTCACAGCACATTGAGGGAAGAGGTGACCTTAGGAATTCACACTGCACAGAGGTGAGAGGTACCACGTGGTAGCCACAGTGCATAAAGGGGAGAGGTGATCTGAGGTAGTCACAGTACATTGAGGGGAGAGGTGACCTGAGGTAGTCACAGTATATAGAGGGGAGAGGGGATCCGAGGTAGCTATAGTACATTGAGGGGAGAGGTGACCTTATGTAGTCACAGTATATAGAGGGGAGAGGGGATCTGAGGTAGCTATAGTACATTGAGGGGAGAGGTGACCTTAGTTAGTCACAGTATATAGAGGGGAGAGGGGATCTGAGGTAGCTATAGTACATTGAGGGGAGAGGTGACCTTGGTTAGTCACAGTATATAGAGGGGAGAGGGGATCTGAGATAGCTATAGTACATTGAGGGGAGAGGTGACCTTAGTTAGTCACAGTATATAGAGGGGAGAGTTGATCTGAGATAGCTATAGTACATTGAGGGGAGAGGTGACCTTAGGTAGTCACAGTATATAGAGGGGAGAGTTGATCTGAGGTAGCTATAGTACATTGAGGGGAGAGGTCACATTTCAGCAAGTGTTGATCCGATGTATGTAGCCACAACACACAGAAATATGTCCATGAGGGAAATACTTTCACTGTCAAAAGACCTCTTGTCAGAGTTGAGAGGAACTAAACTCCTTCTGCGATTGGAACAAATTTTTTAAAGTTTTTTTTTTTAAATGGCCAGTGCTATCAGTGATTATCAGGAACACCTACCCATAAGTGGAGTTTTTGAATTCCCAAGGGGAGATTCACTTCTTTCATTGTTCGTTGATGAGTTGAAGCAAACCGTTTTCTTTCGGAGTTTATAACCAAAGAAGATTAACAGTCCAATGATCATGAGGATGCCAACTACGTAGAGGACTATAGTGATTACGGCATACTGTTCGTGATGATCTCGGCTTCTTTTACCTTCCTCCTTCACTGTCTTTTCCAGGTGCCCTGGAAGTCAAAATGTTTACTGTGTAATAAAGTTTGGTTGATGTGTGAAGTATTTTGAATTGAGCAGTAGACACATCATATGATTATTATACACTGTTACAGATTATAAGGTTTTCTATGCTAGGTTATATAGAACTGTAGGAAAAGTTAATACCCTGAAGGATCTGTTCCTGTGAGAAGTCAAATTTTCTACAGACTATTATTTTTTGAGCCAGACTTAATTTTGAAGAGAATATGAGAAAATGAAAAAAACAAAGAAAATGATAGGTACGTGTGCTTGTTTTTATTTGCTTAGGTCGGTCAAAACATGCAAATTTAATATATCGGGAAATATGTGATATTTGGTAAAAATTATCATTTCGATTGTATGTAAAACAAATTCATACCACATCTTCCAAGCATGTTTTCAGAAGTCTATGAATATTTGCAATATTGATAAGAATTGTATTTTCTCTTAAATTATAGAAGTGAATACTCTTTAAATTATACTTTGATCTCAAAAATGCAATTGATGGTACCTTCAATAAGATTCATCAGTTTGGAAATATGTAATATCAAAGTTTTACTTTTTCCAAAAACAACCGTGTTGTAACATTTCAGGACTGCCTGGTCCCTTTGTCAAGCTAATTATAAGAGATCTTCGAGATGTTGTAACATTTCAGGACTGACTTAAAACTAGAGAGAAGGGACAGCCTTATATAACTATAATGTGACTTTAACCACAAGTGACAATACTATTTAACTGCTTGTATTTAAAGGACTGACATGAGACCTACCTATGTTTTGTCTAGGAACAGTTCCCTGGACTGATTTGTGTTTGGTGCTTTCTGTTTGTGCAATGTAGTCCTCTGGGTTTGATGCATTTGTGTCTACTGAACTAGTGGGTTTAATACCACCTGGTGAATTGGTGACCTTGACATCTGGTGAAGTGGTGACCTTGACATCTGGTGAACTGGTGACCTTAACTTCTGGTGAACTGGTGGTCTTCTGTATCTTGTTACAAACACCATCATCGTCATCCCAGTTTGACTCCTGAACGTATCTGCAACATAATACAATAGGACCAATGTATCCCTCACTTTTTATTCATTCCATATCTATGACCTTCAAGGTGGGTCAAGGTACCTCTGTTGGAAGAATATTATTACTCTATAACGTTACGTAGCTTTGTTGGAAGAATTTAACTTATTTTATTTAAACAAGCTTCAAAGTTCTAGCAGGTCATTCATCCCAAACTTAATATCCCTACTGGTTGTTCTTAAGTGGTTTACAGGTTTTGACAAATTTGACCCCTGTAGCCTTGAAAATTGGATAAAGGTCATTCATATAATGATTACACTCATCATAAGTATACTACTTGTCAAATTTTCAAGAGTGTTTTATAAGATTATATAAATTAATTCACCTGTATGGCTTAAAGTGATATTCAAGGTATTTTATACACATATTAATTTCTGATCACATATAAACCTAAATGTACCAAGCTTCTGGTCACATATAAATCTCTATGTCAGCAAGTTCTGGTCACATATAAATTTCTATGTCAGCAAGTTCTGGTCACATATAAATCTCTATGTACCAAGCTACAGTATACATATAAATCTCTATGTACCAAGCTACATGTCACATATAAATCTCTATGTCAGCAAGTTCTGGTCACATATAAATCTCTATGTACCAAGCTATATGTCACATATAAATCTCTACGGCCCCAAGCTACATGTAACATATAAATTTCTATTTCAGCAAGCTTCTAGTCACATATAAATCTCTATGTACCAAGCTACAGTATACAGATATATCTCTATATACCAAGATACAGTATACATATAAATCTTTATATACCAAGCTACAGTATTCATATAAATCTCTTTGTACCAAGCTACAGTATACATATATATATCTATATACCAAGCTACAGCATACATATATATCTCTATATACAAAGCTACAGTATACATATAGATCTCTATGTACCAAGCTATATGTCACATATAAATCTCTACGGCCCCAAGCTACATGTAACATATAAATTTCTATTTCAGCAAGCTTCTAGTCACATATAAATCTCTATGTCAGCAAGTTCTGGTCACATATACATCTCTATGTACCAAGCTATCTGTCACATATAAATCTCTACGGCCCCAAGCTACATGTAACATATAAATTTCTATTTCAGCAAGCTTCTAGTCACATATACATCTCTATGTACCAAGCTATCTGTCACATATAAATCTCTACGGCCCCAAGCTACATGTAACATATAAATTTCTATTTCAGCAAGCTTCTAGTCACATATAAATCTCTATGTAACAAGCTACAGTATACATATGAATCTCTATATACCAAGCTACACTATACATATAAATCTTTATGGACCAAGCTACATGTCACATCTAAATCTCTATGTCAGCAAGTTCTGGTCACATATACATCTCTATGTACCAAGCTATCTGTCACATATAAATCTCTACGGCCCCAAGCTACATGTAACATATAAATTTCTATTTCAGCAAGCTTCTAGTCCCATATAAATCTCTATGTACAAAGCTACAGTATACATATATATCTCTATATACCAAGCTACAGTATACATATAAATCCCTATGTACCAAGCTACAGTAAACATATATATCTCTATATACCAAGCTACAGTATACATATAAATCTTTATGTACCAAGCTACATGTCACATATAAATCTCTATGTCAGCAAGCTACATATACAAGAGGCACACAGGGTCTGTTTGCTCACCTGGATATCTAAGCAATCATGGCAAAACATTCTCCAAATGAGATCCAAGGGAATATGCCAGACCCAATTCTACTCCCTTGTAGCATATCTGTATTAGATTTTTCATGCCCAGCAATTCTATGTATGGTTATGGGGTGGGGATCTCAACTGTTTCCAAGCTGTGACTCAGAAACTAGGTCCCTAGGGTTGTGGCCAGACCCCAGGATCTATTCTAATATCATGACTGCATTTGTCTCTTTTTGCCCAGCATTTGTATATATAGTTTTGGGGTGGGGGTCTAAACAGTTTCAAAGTTATGACCCAGGGGTTAAGTCTGCAAGGGTGGGGCAGACCCTGGAGTCAATTCTAATATCATGACAGCATTTGTCTCTTTATGCCCAACAATTGTTTATATAGTTTTAGGGTGGGGATCTTAACCATTTTAAAGTTATGACCCAGGAGTTTAATCTCAAAGGATGGGGCAGTACCCAAAGCCATCCTGGAAGCATATGTGCATTCATCTCTTTATACTCAGCAATTGTATATATGGTTATAGGGTGGGGATCTCAACTGTTTCCAAGCTATGACTCAGAAACTAGGTCCATAGGGGTTCGGTCAGACCCCAGGGTCTATTCTAATACAAGAGGCCCAAGAGGGCCTGTATCGCTCACCTAAATATTTAAGAAGTCATAGCAAAATATTCTCATTCAATATTATATTGCACTAAAAATATTTCCCTCGCAAACTTTGTTGGCTCCATCTGTTGAAACTACCAGCAAAATATTATTATAAGATTCTATGCTTTTTGATTCTTCTTCAGAAGTTGCTTGACATATTTTCCCCTGTGATCTTGTAAGTAGGTGCTCAAGAACAAATCCATTAAAATGTTGTTGACCTCTGTGACCTCTAAAGTAGGTTGAGGTCATTTTCATTTGCAAACTTTGGTGAGCTCTATCCCGGGAAGCCACCAGCCAAATATTATAATTTTATGCCTTTTAAACTCCAGAAGAAGCTGTTTGAACTGTTTGACATATTTGAACGCTGTGACCTTGAAAGTAGGTCAAGGTCATTTTCATTCCTAAACTTTGTTGGGCCCTATCCCTGGAAGCCATCAACCAAATATGAAGATTCTATACCTTTTAATTCTTCAGAAGAAGTCGTTTGAAGTTTTTGACATATTTGACCCCTGTGACCTTGAAAGTAGGTCAAGGTCATTTTCATTCCTAAACTTTGTTGGGCCCTATCCCTGGAAGCCATCAACCAAATATGAAGATTCTATACCTTTTAATTCTTCAGAAGAAGTCGTTTGAAGTTTTTGACATATTTGACCCCTGGGACCTTGAAAGTAGGTCAAATTAATAGCCATTCTAAAACTTTGTTGGTCTCTATCACAGGAACCCCCCAGCCAAATATAAAGATTCTAGACCTTTCAGTTCTTCAGAAGAAGTCATTTGAAGTGTCTGACATATTTGACTCCTGTGACCTTGAAAGAAGGTCAAGGTCATTTTCATTCTTAAACTTTGTTGGGCCCTATCCCTGGAAGCCATCAACCAAATATGAAGATTCTATACCTTTTAATTCTTCAGAAGAAGTCGTTTGAAGTTTTTGACATATTTGACCCCTGTGACCTTGAAAGTAGGTCAAATTAATTGCCATTCTAAAACTTTGTTGGTCTCTATCACAGGAAGCCACCAGCCAAATATAAAGATTCTATACCTTTCAGTTCTTCAGAAGAAGTCATTTGAAGTGTTTGACACATTTGACCCTTTTGACCTTGAAAGTAGGTCAAGGTCATTTTCATTCTTAAACTTTGTTGGGCCCTATCCCTGGAAGCCATCAACCAAATATGAAGATTCTATACCTTTTAGTTCTTTAGAAGAAGTCGTTTGAAGTTTTTGACATATTTGACCCCTGTGACCTTGAAAACAGGTCAAGGTCATTTTCGTTCTCAAACTTTGTAGGGCTCCTACCAACGAAGCTTTCAGCCAAATATCATGACTCTAGGCCTGTCCGTTCTTTAGAAGAAGTTGTTTATAGGAGAAGTTGATGGACGAGGACGGACGGTCGGACGGACGACGGACGGACGAAGGACGCCGCGCCACGCACACTTCGTGCCAGGTGAGCTAATGATGACTGCATTCGTCTCTTTACTCCCAGCATTTGTATATATACCGTTTTGGGGTGGGGATCTCAACCGTTTTAAAGTTATGACCAAGGGACTATGTCTCCCAATGGTGGGGCCAGACCCCTGAGCAATTCTGGAAGCATATGTGCATTTTTCTCTTCATAGGGTGGGGATATCAACCATTTCCAAGCAATAAACTATTCTTGGCCCCACCCTTTAGCCAAGGGGGTCAGCCCCACTACTTGTACAATTTGAATCCCTGTCTCCAATGAATGATAACAACCAAATATGATTGATATCCAGTGCATAGTTCTACAGAAGAAGTCATTAATAGCAATATAGCCAAATACCCTTTTTTGGCCCCGCCCCTCAGCCCCCTGGGGGGACAGCCCAACCACTTGTACAATTTTGAATCCCCGCCTCTCATGAATACTTCTGACCAAATATGATTGATATCCAGCGCATAGTTCTACAGAAGAAGTAGTTTATAGCAATATAACCAAATCGTCCCCTTTTGGCCCCGCCCCTCAGCCCCCTGGGAGGTTAACCTTACCATTTATTCAATTTTGAATCCCCACCACCTAGGGATGCTTCCAATCAAATTTAGTTAAATTCAAATCAGTCGTTTGAAGAAATTGTTGACGGACGGAAGAGGGACTTTGGACGCCACGGTATGGCATAAGCTCACCTTGGTCCATCGGACCAGGTGAGCTAATAATCTAACATGCTATAATACTCCTGATATATATAAGTTGTGACAACTTCATGCTTTCTATCTTATGATGACATTCTGGTAAGTTTATGAAGTTTATTATCACAGCTCATTTATACGCTTGTCATATTATTCTGTGAATCATATTAATTTTTATTTTCACAATCACATTGATAAACTGCGAAATTGCAAAAGTATCCTGCTATTTTCCTTCTACAAGCTACTGACCAAACATCATGTCTCTAGACCATATCATTCTTGAGATGAAGTAGTCGGAGCATTTGAACATTCCAATATTTTCACTAGGGCTGCAATAATAAATCAACGTGACGATACGATACTGTAGCCACAATGTGATACATATCATGGTACATAAAGTAGCAGTCGAAGCAATGGAAAAGATAGGTTATAAATCTTAGATGGCAATATTACCCTGGAAATAGACTTGGTCAAAAATGGGCATGACTTGACAATGCATGTCTTTACACGTGCAGACTGACAACAACAGAAGCTCACTTAGCTTTTTGGGCTGGGTAGGCTAATAAACATCTATACAGAATCAGGGTCAGGTGAGCTAATAAACATCTATACAGAATCAGGGCCAGGTGAGCTAATAAACATCTATACATAATCAGGGTCAGGTGAGCTAATAAACATCTACACAGAATCAAGGTCAGGTGAGCTAATAAACATCTATAAAGACTCAGGGCCAGGTGAGCTAATAAACATCTATACAGAATCAGGGACAGTCGAGCTAATAAACATCTTTAAAGAATCAGGGCCAGGTGAGCTAATAAACATCTATACAGAATCAGGGTTAGGTGAGCTAATAAACATCTATACAGAATCAGGGCCAGGTGAACTAATAAACATCTATACAGAATCAAGGTCAGGTGAGCTAATAAACATCTCTAAAGAATCAGGGCCAGGTGAGCTAATAAACATCCACACAGAATCAGGGACAGGTGAGCTAATAAACATCTATACAGAATCAGGGCCAGGTGAACTAATAAACATCTATACAAAATCAGGGTCAGGTGAGCTAATAAACATCTACACAGAATCAAGGTCAGGTGAGCTAATAAACATCTATAAAGACTCAGGGCCAGGTGAGCTAATAAACATCTATACATAATCAGGGTCAGGTGAGCTAATAAACATCTATACAGAATCAGGGACAGTCGAGCTAATAAACATCTTTAAAGAATCAGGGCCAGGTGAGCTAATAAACATCCACACAGAATCAGGGTCGGGTGAACTAATAAACATCTATACAGAATCAGGGTAAGGTGAGCTAATAAACATCTATAAAGAATCAGGGGAAGGTGAGCCAATAAAGATCTATACAGAATCAGGGTTAGGTGAGCTAATAAACATCTATACAGAATCAGGGACAGTCGAGCTAATAAACATCTTTAAAGAATCAGGGCCAGGTGAGCTAATAAACATCCACACAGAATCAAGGTCAGGTGAGCTAATAAACATCTATAAAGAATCAGGGGCAGGTGAGCTAATAAACATCTATACAGAATCCAGGTCAGGTGAGCTAATAAACATCTATACAGAATCCAGGTCAGGTGAGCTAATAAACATCTATACAGAATCCAGGTCAGGTGAGCTAATAAACATCTATACAGAATCCAGGTCAGGTGAGCTAATAAACATCTATACAGAATCCAGGTCAGGTGAGCTAATAAACATCTATACAGAATCCAGGTCAGGTGAGCTAATAAACATCTATACAGAATCCGGGGCAGGTGAGCTAATAAACATCTATACAGAATCAGGGTCTGGTGAGCTAATAAACATCTATACAGAATCAGGGACAGTCGAGCTAATAAACATCTTTAAAGAATCAGGGTCAGGAGAGCTAATAAACATCCACACAGAATCAAGGTCAGGTGAGCTAATAAACATCTCTAAAGAATCAGGGCCAGGTGAGCTAATAAACATCCACACAGAATCAAGGTCAGGTGAGCTAATAAACATCTATAAAGAATCAGGGGCAGGTGAGCTAATAAACATCTATACAGAATCCGGGGCAGGTGAGCTAATAAACATCTATACAGAATCCGGGTCAGGGGAGCTAATAAACATCTATACAGAATCCGGGTCAGGTGAGCTAATAAACATCTATACAGAATCAGGGTCAGTCGAGCTAATAAACATCTTTAAAGAATCAGGGTCAGGTGAGCTAATAAACATCCACACAGAATCAAGGTCAGGTGAGCTAATAAACATCTATAAAGAATCAGGGCCAGGTGAGCTAATAAACATCTATACAGAATCAGGGTCAGGTGAACTCATAAACATCTATACAGAATCAGGGCCAGGTGAGCTAATAAACATCTATAAAGAATCAGGGCCAGGTGAGCTAATAAACATCCACACAGAATCAGGGTCAGGTGAGCTAATAAACATCTATAAAGAATCAGGGCCAGGTGAGCTAATAAACATCTATAAAGAATCAGGGCCAGGTGAGCTAATAAACATCCACACAGAATCAGGGTCAGGTGAACTAATAAACATCTATACAGAATCAGGGTAAGGTGAGCTAATAAACATCTATAAAGAATCAGGGCCAGGTGAGCTAATAAAAATCCACACAGAATCAGGGCCAGGTGAGCGCATAAACATCTATATAGAATCAGGATCAGGTGAGCTAATACACATCCACACAGAATCAGGGTCAGGTGAGCTAATAAACATCTATATATAATCAGGGCCAGGTGAGCTACTGAACATCTATATAGAATCAGGGTCAGGTGAACTAATAAACATCTATATACATGTATAATCAGGGCCAGGTGAGCTACTGAACATCTATATAGAATCAGCTGCTGCATGTCACATCTTGATACTGTGATATACAAGGTGTTTTAAAATCATTTACCCGTCCAAGCAAGGTCCACACTCAGACTTTCGGCTCTGTTTAGGTTTCCTCTTATACAGACGGTTCTTCTTGGTACAGTTACGGTCCAGACGACAGTAGCGCAGGTCTCTCCAGTCGCGCGTGTGCTGGTCGCTATATTGGCCCTTTGGACATTGCAAACAGATATGACATTGGAGAGCTCCTCGCTGTTCGTCTAGTGGACCCTGTTAATGCAACATATACCATCATTACCTTAGTTTCAGGGTCGACAGACATGGCATATCACCACAAAGAAGAAGAATTATTTCACACAATACTTTTTCCAGCGATGAACCATTCAACAATCAATATTTTACAATGGTTATTGAGTTAAAATTACTCTGTCCTCAGCAGAAGATACTCCCTCCTCACCAACAACATTAGAAACAGACTCCCATCTTACAGGGCAAAGTGATCTAGTCCTGATCTGCTTGAGAATATACCCTCTCCCCAACTACAATAGAAAGGAACTTCCTCCCTAACCATAACAGTAGAAAAGCTGCCCCCTTTAAAATATATAAATAAACTTTATTACAGTTATGAAATAAGTTATATCAATTTACATGAATCACTCCTGTTGGCCTAAATGGTAGTGCACTTGGAATGGGGGAGGAAAATAGGAGTACCCGGAGAAAACTTACATGATCATGATCAGGCAGGTGAACTTTTTAATGTCTGATTGAGGAATGGAATTCTGGCCAATTTCTAAGTGAAAAACAAGTATGCTTTTCAATGTGCCACCTGACCACATACAATGTACTAATGTAGATGTCCCTCCCCACCTACAATAGAAACGCATCCCGTCTCTGACCACAGTGGAAAGGAATCTCCTCCCCGACCACAGTTGAAAGGTCTCCCCTCCCCCACCACAGTAGAAAGGTATCCCCCCTCCACCACAGTAGAAAGGTATCCCCCCCCCCTCCACAATGGAAAGGTCTCCCCTCCCCACCCACAGAATAAAGGAATCCCCTCCCCACCCACAGAATAAAGGAATCCCCTCCCCACCAACAGTAGGAAGGTCAATCCCCTCCCCACCTACAGTAGAAAGGTATCCCCCACCACCACAGTAGAAAGGTATCCCCCCACAACGACCATCACCACAGTAGAAAATTCTCCCCTCCCCACCCACAGAATAAAGGTATCCCCTTTCCACCAACAGTAGGAAGGTATCCCCTCCCCACCCACAGTAGGAAGGTATCCCCTCCCCACCCACAGAACGAAGGTATCCCCTCCCTACCCAAAGAACGCAGGTATCCCCTCCCCACCAACAGAACAAAGGTATCCCCTCCCCACCCACAGTAGGAAGGTATCCCCTCCCCACCCACAGAACGAAGGTATCCCCTCCCCACCCAAATAAGGCAGGTATCCCCTCCCCACCAACAGAACAAAGGTATTCCCTCCCCATCCACAGTTGGAAGGTATCCCCTCCCCACCCACAGAACAAAGGTATCCCCTCCCCACCAACAGTAGGAAGGTTTCCCCTCCCCACCCACAGAACAAAGGTATCCCTTCCCTAACCACAGTAGAAAGAAATTCCCTCCCAAACCACAGTAGAAAGGTATCCCCTCCCCAACCCACAGAACAAAGGTATCCCCTTCCCACCAACAGTAGGAAGGTTTCCCCTCCCCACCCACAGAACAAAGGTATCCCTTCCCTAACCACAGTAGAACGGAATCCCCTCCCTGACCACAGTGGAAAGGTATCCCCTCCCTAACCACAGTAAAAAGGTATCTCCTCCCCAATCAGTTAGGAACCGACTCCCTAACCACAGTAGAAAGAAATTCCCTCCCCAACCACAGCAGAAAGGAATCCCCTCCCAAACCACAGTAGAAAGGCATCCCCTCCCCACCAACAGTAGAACAGGTATCCCCTCCCTAACCACAGCAGAAATGAATCCCCTCCCAAACCACAGCAGAAAGGAATCCCCTCCCCACCAACAGTAGAACAGGTGTCCCCTCCCCACCCACAGTAGGAAGGTATCCCCTCCCCACCCACAGTAGGAAGGTTTCCCTTCCCCAGCCACAGAACAAAGGTATCCCCTCCCCACCCACAGAACGAAGGTATCCCCTCCCCACCCACAGAAGGAAGGTATCCCCTCCCCACCCACAGAACGAAGGTATCCCCTCCCCACCCACAGAAGGAAGGTATCCCCTCCCCACCCACAGTAGGAAGGTTTCCCTTCCCCAGCCACAGAACAAAGGTATCCCCTCCCCACCCACAGAACGAAGGTATCCCCTCCCCACCCACAGAACAAAGGAATCCCCTCCCCACCAACAGTAGAAAGGTATCCCCTCCCCACCACCAGAACAAAGGTATCCCTTCCCTAACCACAGTAGAACGGAATCCCCTCCCCCACCACAGTGGAAAGGTATCCCCTCCCAAACCACAGTAGAACGGAATCCCCTCCCCCACCACAGTGGAAAGGTATCCCCTCCCAAACCACAGTAGAACGGAATCCCCTCCCCGACCACAGTGGAAAGGTATCCCCTCCCTAACCTCAGTAAAAAGGTATCTCCTCCCAAATCACAGTTAGGAACCGACTCCCTAACCACAGTAGAAAGAAATTCCCTCCCTAACCACAGTAGAAAGAAATTCCCTCCCTAACCACAGTAGAAAGAAATTCACTCCCAAACCACAGTAGAAAGGTATCCCCTCCCCACCCACAGAACGAAGGTATCCCCTCCCCACCCACAGAACAAAGGAATCCCCTTCCCACCAACAGTAGAAAGGTATCCCCTCCCCACCCACAGAACGAAGGTATCCCCTCCCCACCCACAGAAGGAAGGTATCCCCTCCCCACCCACAGAACGAAGGTATCCCCTCCCCACCCACAGAACGAAGGTATCCCCTCCCCACCCACAGAACAAAGGAATCCCCTCCCCACCCACAGAACAAAGGTATCCCTTCCCTAACCACAGTAGAAAGAAATTCCCTCCCAAACCACAGTAGGAAGGTATCCCCTCCCCAACCCACAGTAGGAAGGTATCCCCTCCCCACCCACAGAACAAAGGTATCCCCTTCACACCAACAGTAGGAAGGTATCCCCTCCCCACCCACAGAACAAAGGTATCCCTTCCCTAACCACAGTAGAACGGAATCCCCTCCCCGACCACAGTGGAAAGGTATCCCCCCCCCCCTTACCACAGTAGAAAGAAATTCCCTCCCCAACCACAGCAGAAAGGAATCCCCTCCCTAACCACAGCAGAAAGGAATCCCCTCCCCACCGACAGTAGAACAGGTAGCTCCTCCCCCTAAAAAATAGAAAGGTACCCCTCCCCACCAACAATAGAAATGCATCCCATCCCCATCCAGCAGTAAGACTGTAGCAGGTGATTTGTGCCGTTTACTAGATAAACAATGCAATGTGGAAAAATACTATGAACAAAGTACACACTTCATGTACACGTTGTTAAGTACAGTACACACAAATTGATTATTCATACCTGTATATATGTGAGTAGGCCACTCAATCCTAAATTACTACCTGTATTGTATACCTGGTGTCTAGACAGAATACTACAGACACCACTGAGCATGCTCAATGACCTCAATTACCAATCTACAAATAGGGGAAAATATCATACCCATTCATTGAAAATTGATGTAGTGGAAAAATGTAAACATTTCAATGATAGAATTACGCAATATCTTCAACAAGCAATGGCGGAAACTTACTCAAACAATCTAAAAAGAAAACTGACATGATCAGTCAGGTGACCCTTTAAATGTCCGATTGAGGAATGGAATTCTGGCCAATTTCTTAAATGAAAATCAAGTGTGCTTTTCAATTTTCCACCTGACCACATACACTGTACTAATGTAGGGTGTCCCTCCCCACCTACAGTAGAAAAGTATCCCCTCTCTGACCACAGCAGAAAGGAATCCCCTCTCCACCAACAGTAGACCAGGTATCCCCTCCCTAACCACAGCAGAAAGGAATCCCCTCCCCACCTACAGAAGAACAGGTATCCCCTCCCTAACCACAGCAGAAAGGAATCCCCTCCCTAACCACAGCAGAAAGGAATCCCCTCCCCACAGACAGTAGAACAGGTATCCCCTCCCTAACCACAGTAGAAAGGTATCCCCTCCCAGACTACAGTAGAAAGGTATCCCCCCCCAGACTACAGTAGAAAGGTATCCCCTCCAAGACTACAGTAGAAAGGTATCCCCTCCCAGACTGCAGTAGAAAGGTATCCCCTCCCAGACTACAGTAAAAAGGTATTCCCTCCCTAACCCTAGTAGAAAGGAATGGACTCCCCAACCACAGTAGAAAGGTATCCCCTCCCAGACTACAGTAGAAAGGGATCCCCTCCCAGACTACAGTAGAAAGGTATCCCCTCCCTAACCCTAGTAGAAAGGAATGGACTCCCCAACCACAGAAGAAAGGTATCCCCTCCCTAACCCTAGTAGAAAGGAATGGCCTCCCCAACCACAGTAGAAAGGTATCCCCTCCCTAACCCTAGTAGAGAGGAATCCCCTCCCAGACTTCAGTAGAAAGGTATCCCCTCCCAGACTACAGTAAAAAGGTATTCCCTCCCTAACCCTAGTAGAAAGGAATGGACTCCCCAACCACAGTAGAAAGGTATCCCCTCCCAGACTACAGTAAAAAGGTATTCCCTCCCTAACCCTAGTAGAAAGGAATGGACTCCCCAACCACAGTAGAAAGGTATCCCCTCCCAGACTACAGTAGAAAGGTAGCCCCTCCCAGACTACAGTAAAAAGGTATTCCCTCCCTAACCCTAGTAGAAAGGAATGGACTCCCCAACCACAGTAGAAAGGTATCCCCTCCCTAACCCTAGTAGAAAGGAATCCCCTCCCAGACTTCAGTAGAAAGGTATCCCCTCCCAGACTACAGTAGAAAGGTATTCCCTCCCAGACTACAGTAAAAAGGTATCCCCTTCCCAACCACAGTAGAAAGAAATTCCCTCCCTGACCACAGTAGAAAGGAATGGACTCCCCCGCCTACAATAGAAAGGAATCCCCTCCCTTACTACAGCAGAAAGGAGTCCCCTCCCTTACAACAGTAGAAAAAAATCCCCTCCCTGACTTCAGTAGAAAAGAATCCCCTCCCTGACTACAGTAGAAAGGTATCCCCTCCCCAACCACAATAGAAAGAGGAATCCCCTCCCCAACCACAATAGAACAGGTATCCCCTCCCCACATAAATTTGAAAGGTACCCCTCCCCACCAACAATAGAAAGAGGAATCCCCTCCCTATCCAGTAGTAAGACTGTAGCGTGTGATTTGTGCCATGCCCCTGTGCCGTTTACCAGATAAACAATGCAATGTGGAAAAATACTATGAACAAAGTACACATTACATGTACATGTTATTAAGTACAGTTCACACAAAATTGATTATTCATACCTATATGAGGTCACTCAATCCTAAATTACTACCTGTATTGTATGCCTCGTGTCTAGACAGAATACTACAGACACCACTGAGCATGCTCGTAGAGGAAAATATCATATCCGTTGAGAATTGACGTAGTGGAAAAATGTAAACATTTCAATGATAGAATTTCGCAATATCTTCAACAAGCACTGGCGGAAACTTACTCAAACAATCTGAAGGAAAATTTTAACTACTTTTAACAGACAATAGCGATAAACTCCTGTATACCTTTACAGACAGGGAACAATGACACAGCTTTTAACAGCTTTGCGCATATAAATTCACATGGAGATAAATAGGTAATAACCAGATATACTTTAAAGTGCCTGCATATCTCGCAGTAAAACATCATCACCTGAACACTACCATGACACCCTATCCCAAGCATAAACAAGAGGCTCAATGGCCTTAACGGTTACCGGAGTTTTAATCTAGTTTTACTTGTTCAATATTGTGATGCAACAAAAAAAACATATGGAAGTACATGTAACCAAAAACATCTTTCTGACTATGGATTTGCTTTTACAAAACTATGTTGGGAGTGTCTAACATTTATTAGAGCTCGTAAATATCAGTAAAATGATAAAATGATACCCACCAAAGAGAAATAGATAAGCTACAACCATATGACAAGAATTCCAACTAAGTTTGAATTATTTCCCACTTAAAATCAATAAAATAATACCAAAATAATGGAATCCCCGATATAACCCAGAGTAGTCAATACCCCCTGCCCAGGTAGAAAGGGGGAGAAACGTTGACCTATGGGTAATGAAAATCATCATTTTGGTAAAGCACCTGTTGACCTTTCCATCCACAAAGAGGATTTGATTCTAGCATATCTGGGTCTGAGGAAGAAGATTGTTAAGAGGAATCCCCTCCCCACCAACAGTAAAACAGGTATCCCCTCCCTAACCACAGTAGAAAGGAATCCCCTCCCTTACCACCACTCAGTACCCTGGAGGGTCAGACCCATCTTCTAATATAAACTCTCCACCACTCAGTACCCTGGAGGGTCAGACCCATCTTCTAGTATAAATCCTCCACCACTCAGTACCCTGGAGGGTCAGACCCATCTTCTAATATAAATTCTCCACCACTCAGTACCATGGAGGGTCAGACCCATCTTCTAGTATAAACTCTCCACCACTCAGTCCCCTGGAGGGTCAGACCCATCTTCTAGTATAAATCCTCCACCACTCAGTACCCTGGAGGGTCACACCCATCTTCTAGTATAAACCCTCCACCACTCAGTACCCTGGAGGGTCAGACTCATCTCAATTATAAACTCTCCACCACTCAGTACCCTGGAGGGACAGACCCATCTTCTAGTGACAACTCTCCACCACTCAGTACCCTGGGGGGTCAGACCCATCTTCTAGGATAAACTCTCCACCACTCAGTACCCAGGAGGGTCAGACCCATCTTCTAGGATAAACTCTCCACCACTCAGTGCCCTGGAGGGTCAGACCCATCCTCTAGTATAAATCCTCCACCTCTCAGTACCCTGGAGGGTCACACCCATCTTCTAGTATAACCCCTCCCCCACTCAGTACCCTGGAGGGCCACACCCATCTTCTAGTATTAACTCTCCACCACTCAGTACCCAGGAGGGTCAGACCCATCTTGTAGTGTAAACTCTCCACCACTCAGTGCCCTGGAGGGTCAGACTCATCTCCAATATAAACTCTTCACCACTCAGTACCCTGGGGGGTCAGACCCATCTTCTAGGATAAACTCTCCACCACTCAGTCCCCTGGAGGGTCAGACCCATCTTGTAGTGTAAACTCTCCACCACTCAGTGCCCTGGAGGGTCAGACCCATCCTCTAGTATAAATCCTCCACCACTCACTACCCTGGAGGGCCAGACCCATCTTCTAGTATAAATCCTCCCCCACTCAGTACCCTGGAGGGGCAGACCCATCTTCTCGTATAAATCCTCCACCACTCACTACCCTGGAGGGCCAGACCCATCTTCTCGTATAAATTCTCCACCACTCAGTATCCTGGAGGGTCAGACCCATCTGCTAGTATAAACTCTCCACCACTCAGTACCCTGGAGGGTCAGACCCATCTCAAGTATACACTCTGATCACTATCTCGGTTGATGTTTACCACCAAGTTTCATCAAAATCTGACCAACAGTTTCTGAGGAGAATTTAAAATGTGATTGTTATGGATTATTTCAGGCTTTCCTCTAAATGACCCCCTTTGAGCCCCTATGGGCAGATCAGTCATGCCATTATAATATGAAATTTTGATGAAATACATCAGTAAGTTTCAGAGAAGAAGTGTTTTGAAGGTTTGTACTCTTATTACAGTTATGCACCAGGGGGTTATACCAACAATAATTCAATACTTTTCATAAATACATATATTTGAAATATTGTTTGGGAGTTTAAGCATATTATGACATAAAATTACAGATATAAGGAAAGGGTTGAAACCAATATTTATTAAATTAGGTACACTTAGTATGGTAACTTTCAAAAGTATTTAACATAATCTTTGATATATCATTGATGCTTGTTGAACTGATGCTCACTTTTCGTATGGCCTAGATATGGGTCCGAGGCCTGCTACAATAGCCCTCAGCTTCGCCTCAGGCCAATGTAGCAGGCATCGGACCAATAATTGGGCCAATACCTATACAGAAATAACCAATCAATAATACTACATTATTGTTATATTCCTTGAATATTTCAATATATTAGAAGAAAAAAAATTGTTTGCATCACTCACCTCAAAATTCATCACATATGCAAATAACATGGAGATCAATTTAATGTATTATCTTTATATCAATTATTTTCATCCAACACTATTCTAAGAGAAAAGAAATAATAAAACCAAGTCTCAACAGGCCACAGTAAAAGTCTGTGCTAGTTTGTCCACCAATCTTGTGTACTTCGTGACGTCACGTTACTTTTGTAGTGTGATGACATGTAATTGTGACGTCACGATGTTGTCCTTTTGAAATAAACCTGAAGAGCCCTGTGAAGGGTGAAAGCAGTTTGAATTTTAGTCGGTTATTAGATCTTATTTTTTCTAGATATTAACTTACTTCACATGGACTTTTAATCCTTTTTATTATACCAGTACATGTATATATACAAACAGACTTGACGTAACTTACCAGTGTTGAGTTGTCGTGATATTGGCCACGCTTACAGCCTGGACATCTCCGACACTCCCCGGTGGCGGTGCTGACAAACTTCCAAGATTTACAATACTTATAGACAATACCAGTACCAGTGTCTGCTGTGTTGACATGCACAACAAGCAGCCCCAGCAACACCAAGGCAACGACAAAAATGTTCCTCAACATTTACTTGATCAGCCCACACTGAAAAAGAACAATTTATAAAACATTATTTACATGGTAGGGAGAGGACATGAGTTTTAAAGTTATATATATATATATAAAGACAGAAGTCAATTTTATATCAGAAAGAAGTGTCTATCACCTAGCTATAAAAAGTCATAAATAATATGTCATACTACTCCGGCAGACATGAGGTCAGTCATACACAAAAGTCAATCTTATATAACTGCAAAGGTCTGAGTCGTACACAGGTCAATATCATAGACACTTAATTACACTGGTCAATATATCATAGACAATGATCAGTCTTAAGCTGACACTGGTCAATATATCATAGACAATGGTCAGTCTTACACAGGTCAATATATCATAGACAATGGTCAGTCTTACACAGGTCAATATATCATAGACAATGGTCAGTCTTACACAGATCAATATATCATAGACATGAGGTCAGTCATACACAAAAGTCAATCTTATATAACTGCAAAGGTCTGAGTCGTACACAGGTCAATATCATAGACACTTAATTACACTGGTCAATATATCATAGACAATGATCAGTCTTAAGCTGACACTGGTCAATATATCATAGACAATGGTCAGTCTTACACAGGTCAATATATCATAGACAATGGTCAGTCTTACACAGGTCAATATATCATAGACAATGGTCAGTCTTACACAGGTCAATATATCATAGACAATGGTCAGTCTTACACAGGTCAATATATCATAGACAATGGTCAGTCTTACACAGGTCAATATATCATAGACAATGGTCAGTCTTACACAGGTCAATATATCATAGACAATGGTCAGTCTTACACAGGTCAATATATCATAGACAATGGTCAGTCTTACACAGGTCAATATATCATAGACAATGGTCAGTCTTACACAGGTCATTATATCATAGACAATGGTCAGTCTTACACAGATCAATATATCATAGACATGAGGGCAGTCTTACACAGATCAATATATCATAGACAATGGTCAGTCTTATACAGGCCAATATATCATAGACAATGGTCAGTCTTAAGCTTACACTGGTCAATATATCATAGAAAATGGTCAGTCTTAAGCTTACACTGGTCAATCTCATTGCAAACATTTTGTTATTTTTTCTCAAAAGAGTAACATGTGTAGGATAATAAACCGAAAGGGTTCTGTTTACTATTCACTAGTTTTGGAAACTGCAGTGTCCATTCCCAACAGGTCATAATGTCAGTAAAACAGATACGTGACCCAGTACTTCTTCAAAACAAAATGTTTTTCTTCTTCAAATTTACCAAATTTGGTCTTGAACGTAAATCATTCTAAACCACTTTTCATTGAAATTTTAACGGACAAACCACGAATACGAAGTTTCATGCAGGATACTTGATATATGCTTACAGAATTAATGTAAATGGATTTATATGCGATATAAGATACACCTTTAGTCAATACACCGTTAATAAAGGCTTGTATTATGGGTGTTTTGTTTTGTACTGTATCTGGCAAGACGTTTTGCGACAGTAGATAATCGCAAAAAAAACATATTTTAACTTAAATTACTGATATTAAATTAATTATAAGTTTTGTTTAGACATAAGTAAACTTAAACTATGAAGGAAAACATATGAATGATCGCTGAACAGAAAGAAAATGCAAAGCTTTTAATATCAGAAAAAGTGACATGACAACGATTTTTCAAGTATATTGGCATGTTCATGTACACTTTAAGAAAAATTTACTGTATGTTTTCATTCAAAAAATTGTTTGTTTTTGGAAAACATATCAATGTTGAAACAGTGACATATAGGCTCTATTATAGGTAGTGGAAGGACCATACGACATGATTTTCAGTTAATGGCGCATGATAATTAAGTTAGAATGGGCGTTTTTAAAGGTATAACACCCCACTATACGATAGTATAGGGGAGGGCAATACCTATATATATTTATTATTATATATTGGAGGTGATACCTAAACATATCATGTTAGATATATTCTGGAACCCGGTTACTTAATTATAAAAACGTGGTATTCTATTGCTAAATTGCTGATTTCTAGTATTTGGCATTTTCCCAACTGGGCCTAATATTCCCATTGATGACTAGGTCAGAGACGTAGTATATATACGTCTCTGATTAGGTCAATGTTACCCACGCATGTTTCGTAAAAAAATCAGCTAAACTGATTGGTATTTATTGTATTATTTCAATGAACTATAATAATAATACATCAATGCTTCTATACAAGCTTCCTGCGTCAATATTAATGACATATTTCATGTCATATTTCATCTGTTCATTGTGAAATGTTTACAAACACGGGCGCACGTGACCATGACTGTCATTGTGACTGTCTTACGCAATAAACGATAAATATCACTTATATATCAATTACTCACCAGTTTCGTGCAGATTCTGTAAGTTTTCAGTGTGGCTAAGTCCTATGTTCAAAAAGGGTCCATCATCAGCCGTAAGTGCGACTGATGCTGGCGTCAAAATAATGTTTTCGATCAATCGGAGGTTGCCATTCGCCAATGTATATGTGTGCACTCGTGACTAATCACAGCATTGGGTACTGTACACGTTCGAATTTTTTAGAGTGCAGTTTATTAGGCCAACGTTAACAGTGGAGTTAAGGTAAGAATTTGTTATTTCAGCAGACAGACTGTTAATTCACAATATTTGCCGGTCTCATTCAACGTACTTTTATATGTAATCCATTTAAAACGAATATCATAAACTATTCTTAAATTTAAACAGAGACGTATTACTATATATATTACAATATATCGTAATATATAGATATACGTTAAAATATATATCTAATTCCACCATACAAATGTTCATTTTAAATATGAAAAATACCACAGTAAATTTCAAGAACTCTTTTTTAATTAAAGAGAACCTCTCAAATTTTAAGCAAATGCACTTATTCGCAGAGACACAATGATACATGTACGGTTTCCATTAGTATAGGAGAATAGTTTTGATATAATTCGCAAGTACGAAACACGAGTAAGATATATATGGAAAAAAATGTCAACAAAAGAGTGAAATGTGACTGTTATTCATCAGGAAACCAAGAATATTCGTTTTATTATGGGTTTTTTTCTAATAAAGACGTTACCCGATGAGAACAGAGACTCCATCTCCCGCCAAAAAAATCGGTATAGACTATAAACAAACGTCGGGGCATCAGTGACGTCACAATTAACAATGCCCATTGTTTCTTATTTTTTTTTACTGAACCCTGCACTCTGGGGATTGGTCAGTTTAATGTGAAAATGATAAAAAGTGTTATTCTGTCTGTAGAAAAATATCAACTTTATTTTCACTAGTACTGTAGCCTTGTATTTAATTGGTAAAAAATGTAAAAAAGTACTATTTCCTGTATCCAAGTGTCTGGTAGAGAGGACGTCCCGAAGTCCTGGACCGGAAACATACTTATCGTATGTTGAACAATTAAGAAAACACAGATTTTGCAGACTTCAAGACTTCAAACTCCTGGATATAAATTACATCCACCCTTTAGCTCTGTCTATAAATGAATACTAAAAACCGCGCCAAAACATGTAACAAAGACACCTGGACTGACCACTAACCGAAATAAGGTAACACCTTTATTTAGAATAATTACCTTCTATGAACGCAACAAGGTAAGACAAGTGACATGTGACAACAGACTCACGTGTACAAAAACAACACAGGTAGACGGCACAGTGATCGTACACAGCACATGTATAGGCGAACAGCACGATAATTAATTTTATTTTAAAATCATTTTATCACAGTCTTTAATAAAACATCAATATGTTCACATTGTTACACATGTAAATGCATTACTTACATTTATCATATTTTCGAACTCGTCGTAAATTATGAGAAATATGACATAATTCATAGCGACTTGCAATTTGCATGATGCAGTGCAGTAATCTAAAAAAAATCAAGTTGCCGTACACTTAGACGATTTTTTTTTGACGATATTTCATTTAATACAATGGTTTCACTGACACAATGAATGTGTGTAATGTAGATACATCTTTATTTAGTTGTAGACAGTAAAATATGTGGAGGGAAGTACTACAAATGTTAATTCAGACACGTCATAGTTATCACTCGTAAATTTTCGGCGATACCAAACAACGTGTTTGTAAGCCTGGGAGATATATTGACCCATATATGAACGTTTTCTATGGTTTAAGTAAACTCTGAAAATGTGAATCAACGATCCAAAAAGCCTCAAACTCATGACAGCCTCTGAAGTAAGGAAATCGAATATAGAAAAAAACTCACCTTCAACTGCAGTCCACCTCGTGTGATCACCGCCTGTGTAGTAGCAATATCCGGTGTCGTAATTAACACACAGTGTACCATGCACAGGGACCTGAACATTTGTTACAACTATACGTGGACCAAAACTAAAGTGTTCAGGGTACTTTTAAATGTTTTAGGGTTTTGGATCGACTTTTCGAAAGTAATTTTACATGTTTAAGGGTTTAGATAGACTTTTGGTAAAAATGCCACCCCAATGCTTATATATATAGCATAATGGGGGTTAGGCATTTTTTTTTACCGAAAGTCGATCTAAACCCCTTAACATGTAATATTACTCTTAATACCTTAGTTTAGGCCCAAATATAACTGTAACAAAAAATTGCTTTCCTGACATAATACAGACATTTTCACCCAACTCTGTGCTGTAGCCACGGAGATGTCTATATGTACATGTATGTTACAGCTATAGAAGTGCTATATACATAATGGTGTAGAGATCTATCTAGAGTAGACTAATATTGAAGTGTAAAACGTGTCAGGTGTTTAGATGATGCACTTTGTAAAAGTGGCACACCCCTCTAATTACGAGCTTGGTTATTCTAATTCGTTGCTCTTGACTGAAATCTGAAAATAGACCCCACATATAACTTTCACAAAACAAAAATCACATTATTGGTGGATATACAACAAATGCTTCGTATCATTAAAGATGAATAACTTCACTTTCAATCATTTAAGCCTAAAATATTAGCCCAAAACACTTGCTGTAGTACCAGATTCGTCCTTCCCAAGGAAGGAGACAAACATGAAATCATTCTACTTGAGCTCTATACTTTTTTTTATGACTTTTAAGATGGTGTATCTCAACTAGATCATTTAACCTCCCCGTTCGCTATACATACGTACAATTAGTTGTTATATATGTACCGAAATGACTCGATTCGCTTACGCTTACGCTTTGATTAATACTTGGTCAAAGATGTGCGAGAGTCTATGAGCCCCCTCATCTCGATTTAGAACTAGCCAACTGCAGCGTATCCAAATGGCTTCATTTATCTGCCGTTTGAACAGATTGCTCTCTCTGTCCAATACTTGGGAGTTATCACAGTCAATCACATGATTTTTCTGTGTGGCGTGGTCTATGATTGCTAATTTATTGATCTGGGACTCCGATTGCATCCTTTCTAATCGAATGAATTTCTTTCCCTCTTGGGTTTCTGTATCTTTCAGGTGTTAATCATGGCGGACCCGAAATCACCCTCTAGTCTCTCCAATATCCGATGCGTCACAGTTGTTGCATCCGATTTTGCATTCCGTCTTTTCGTATTGCAGAGTTATCTGCTCTTGTGAGCAGATATTGATTGTTACGTCATTTGTTTGTGAGAGTAAAGTCATAAATTTTTGAGAAAACGACCTAATTTTCTCACACAAACTTATGACGTAACAATCAATACCTGCTCACAAGAGCAGATAACTCTGCAATACGAAAAGATGGAATACATGCATTCTGCGACGTTTTCTTTTGGTGTTTTATCCTTAGGTTGTACTAGGATATTACGAAGCGTCTTGTTGGGCTTCATGGCTGTTGCTATGCCATGACCGCAATACATCCTTTGGATGGTTTCGGATATTTACCTTTTATATACGAGATGACCATATGACCTTAAGTTTTGTTCTTATTGTTGATTGGCCTTTTCTTGTGCTTCCCCTTACTTTGACACTGTTTTTGTACTCGTTTGAGGATATGCACAGGTTTTCATTGCCTCAGCGATGTGACGCTCTGCTCTTGTATTTTGTCCTGTTGTTTTGTGACAATTGTATTACATTCGTTGAGCAATGTGCGTACAACGCTTAACTTCTGGTGCAGCACAGCAACAGGTTAAAGGTTATACCTTTCTAATGATTTAGTCAGAAAGTTTGGTTATACGTCTTTGTCTAGGCAATAACTGATGTACGCTGAATAAACATCAAACCAGTGTGTCACCGCTCACATTCATCATGGTCAAGGTCACACCAAGAACATCAAACCAGTGTGTCACCGCTCACATTCATCATGGTCAATGTCTCACCAAGAAATCGGCATTTTCAATTTCTTCTTGTAAAAATATATGGTCTAAAATATCCTTTTGTAGCTTAAAACCTAGTCGTAACATATTAATGTCTTTAGAGTGGAGTAATGACGTCAGAGCTGTTACATAGAACTACAGAGTTGGGACAGAGTCCTGACACAATTCCATAAACAGTCCTGACATGAGGTAAGAGTCGTCACACAAGACCTACAGACATGACGTTTTATTTTTAAACTTCGTCTAAGAAACCACGAGACATTGATGCTTTTTAGATTCTGACTTGTTTGGATGAAGTACTATTAGGTTTGTTCAAATGAATGACCTTGGCATACTTTCATGTTCATTGGGGTCAATTGTTTGAAATATTTTTACTGAAAATCTGTGGGGAATGTATACGTATAAATATAGTGATGTTATTGGTACTCAATACCTTAAGTACTCCATTTTTGAATATAATTTAACAACACATTTGTCTTTTTTATTATATTGATTTATTTTAAGCAAAATTCAAAAATTTGTAATCCTGAGTTTTACCTGAGATCAAATTCAGGCATGTGTACAAAAATACAAAATACTTTTGTTTGCTGGCAGTATACATTTGAATGAAAATAAACTCCACATGCCAACACACATATACAAACAATCAAACAATGATACCATATACATTCATGCAATCTGCCAAATACTATGTGTATAGGTAATGATAAAATACATTAATTCAAACAATTATACCACATACAGTTATTCAAACAATTATACCACACACAGTTATTCAAACAATTATACCACACAGTTATTCAAACAATTTTACCACATACAGATATTCAAACAATTATGTCACAAACATTTATTCAACTATACCACATACTTTCAAAGAATTATACCACATACCTTTTCTCAAACAATTTTACCACATTCATAATTATTGAAACAATTATACCACATGCATTAAAAGAATTTTACCACATACCAGGTACATTGAAATAATTATACTACTCACATTTATTCAAATTGCCACCACACTTCCTTAAAAACAAGGCTATTTCAAAGTACCCTTTTTTCTTAACAATTCCATTCATATCTGTTTTCTATAATACATGTACCAGAATATTGCTGTACAGATTGTGGAGAAGTTTTAGTGTACATGAACAGTACACACATTACCCCTATATATCACCCATACATCCCCCTTAGTGATCAGATATACATGTACACACATTTACCCCTATATACCACCCATACATCCCCATTACTGATCAGATATACATGTACACACATTTACCCCTATATACCAGCCCATACATCCCCCTTAGTGATCAGAGATACATGTACACACATTTACCCCTATACACCACCCATACATCCCCATTAGTGATCAGATATACATGTACACACATTTACCCCTATATACCACCCATACATCCCCATTAGTGATCAGATATACATGTACACACATTTACCCCTATATACCAACCCATACATCCCCGTTACTGATCAGATACACATGTACACACATTTACCCCTATATACCACCCATACATCCCCATTAGTGATCAGATACACATGTACACACATTTACCCCTATATACCAGCCCATACATCCCCATTAGTGATCAGATATACATTTACACACATTTCCCCCTATATACCACCCATACATCCCCCTTAGTGATCAGATATACATTTACACACATTTACCCCTATACACCACCCATACATCCCCATTAGTGATCAGATATACATTTACACACATTTACCCCTATATACCAGCCCATACATCCCCCTTAGTGATCAGATATACATTTACACACATTTACCCCTATATACCAGCCCATACATCCCCATTAGTGATCAGATACACATGTACACACATTTACCCCTATATACCACCCATACATCCCCATTACTGATCAGATATACATGTACACACAATCTCTCTTTTTACAATGTTGCATTTGACAAAGTGAAATATCATACAATCTCTAATATGCTACACCATATTTGGAACGTTCCACATGAAATTTTATAACCCATTTGAAAAATCAAAATCAATTCAATCGATATCATACCAAACCCATAACAGATCTAAACTTCTTAATCTTAATATAAAATGAATCATACAATATTACATTGTGTCCATAAATAATTTAAGTCTTTATCTATGAAATAATAAGTTTTAGAGCCCAAAAGAAACATGATACACTACTGATAATTTCATCTAAGAACTTGGTACATGTTTTTACATAGCGCGTAATAAAGGGTGTAGCCTTACAGTGAGATTTCCCGATTCTGCACAATTTAGTTTCCATACAACATCGGGTACTGCTGCTGATAAGTCCATGGTTAAACCCATCTCTCCCCTAATACAAAGTATGAACATATCACAGACTTTGATGTATACTATACAAGTACATGTATCACAGACTTTGGCATGTACTTTGAAACTATCACAGTCTGATAATGCAGATGATTCTCTTTATATGGACACCGGTCACTGGCCAGTTTTCGTGAACAAGAAGACTCTTATTCTGCATTTTTTTTTATCTTGAGCAAATCCTCAACAAGCTAAACCATGTCTGGTTATATGTAGAAAATAAAAAAATAGGGTCAGGAAATGTTCGCTGCTTTGGAATGAGGGTGAAAAATGTTACCTGCTTTGGTATTAGTGCAATAAAGGTTTGAATCACTTGGCTGACATTAATAAATTTCAAGTCTTTACCATGGAAATTATAACTTTGCCAAGTGATAGGAACAATTCCTATGATTAGCTGCCGATGAACTAGAACTAGTGTAACTAATACCATTTGCGATGTACAGGTTAGCACTCCACCAGAGATTCTGGATCAGATCATTCAAAGATTGATGGTTACACTACTGTGGCAGTCCCACCCAAATATATTAAATACACTACTGTGTTAGCAGTCCCACCCAAATAAATTAAATACAATACTGTGTTAGCAGTCCCACCCAAATAAATTAAATACACTACTGTGTTAGCAGTCCCAACCAAGTAAATTAAATACACTACTGTGTTAGCAGTCCCACCCAAATAAACTAAATACACTACTGTGTTAGCAGTCCCAGCCAAATAAATTAAATACACTACTGTGTTAGCAGTCCCACCCAAATACTCCCAGAACTCGGGATCTAATCCATCTTGATACCTAGATCTAGATACCCTGTAAGCCACACTCTGTCTTAAAGACTAAATATAGCTTCCCTTAATCCAGTGCCACAGAATTCTAGATTCCGTCCCTATGCATCTCCTAAACTCTTTTGTACCAAACCCTTTTAACTGGTAAGATCTTTCATTCAGTCGAGGGGTCAAAACCTCAAGTCCTGACAGATTAACCCGTCTGCAAGATCCTTGTTGATCATTTGGCTTGATGATGTCTGCTCCGCAGCAGTACTATCTTGGACTGAACCGTTGTTAGGTTTTTTCCTTAACTCTATAATTAGAGCGTCCAATTCTACGTTAAATTCATGCTTTATTAAAGCATCATTAAGACTTAACAGGGTAGCCTCTTTTCCCTTACACTGTATGAACTTGTTGAGGTAGGAAATGAGGTGGCCCTCTCCTACTTCATCTATCTGCACCTGTTTCAGTCCCAGAGAGAACATCAAGCTCCTCATTTTGTCCTGTCTCAAATGCTGTCCAGGACGCGTGTCTGCATTTCCCACCGCGCTGACGTAACGATCATCATTCTGCAGGCGTGTGGACGAGGCAGTCTGCCTTTCTGGAAACAAAAAAATAACCCACACTATCATTTACTGTGATAAATGCAAGTCGTGTCAGAAGTGGCAACCTCAGCGTCTTATTTTCATCACTAATTAAGTCTTTATATATCTTATATATAATTTGTATATCCTAAGGATCCAGGTACAACTGCCAATAACAGTAACTACGCACTGCAAATATATTTTACCTGTATGTTTATAGCTTTTGTAAATAATTTTTGAAAAGAAAACCATACCTTGCTGGTATTTTACGAGAAAACTATACAGATAAAATAAACGAAATATATCAACGATAGTGTTCCGAGTATAAAAAATATACAGCCGAGTTAACACCAGGATTTAAATGCTGTACATCAAACCATCAGGAACTCATCTTCTTATAATAATACAATTTAGTAACTCTTACCTTCTTTAGTAAGCGACTTCATGTCGGCTGAAACATCTGGAATACATAAAGATATGAATTTTACATCATTTCTCTTTCACTACTTTTTTTTATTGGTTAGTCTTCTCAGCAGTAAAAGCATCTTGTGTTAGCTTTGGCTCAAACTTAATACAGCTCCAGAACGACGCTTACCTTTAAGCCATATGAATGAACATACCGAAGATTACAGAATTTCTCATTTTACCAATCTTTCAAATGACTATCCCTGAATTTCCACAATACGCAAGAGGAAAACCTACATGGCTACCTAGTCAACAGTTGAAACACTCAACGCTACAGACTACTCAGCCCTGTGTATATGAACTTACCACACTGTACTGAAAAAAAATTGAGGTCTACCTGCCCAATTGCCAAACTACAATCATGCTGCCGATGGTTTGGAGATTTCTAATATCATTACCAAGATGAAACTATACCTCACAGACCTTGATTCATCAACCCATAACAACGAACAGAAGAACAACATTACCCGTAAAAGGAGTTTCAGCAGATAAATCTTGAGAATGCATTCTACACTTTGTAGTATGGACGTCACACAACATATTGTTGCCAGCCTCAGAACACAACTTGCACAGACTGTACTGTACCAACCCTCTATACAGCTTGATATTCTTATAGCTGATGCCATAGTATTACCCTACAAAACTCACTGATGCCATAGTATTACCCTACAAAACTCACTGATGCCATAGTATTACCCAACAGAACTCACTGATGCCATAGTATTACCCTACAGAACTCACTGATGCCATAGTATTACCCTACAAAACTCACTGATGCAAGGACCTTTTTTCCCTTTGGGCTTATCCTAATCGAACACTCTAGAACTGCTCACATACTTATTGACTTATAATCAATTTACCACAGTTCTGACAATTTAATCATGCCTAATATTCTTTCTAAAACTATGAATTTTGGGCATGTTTTGGCCCCCAAATGCATACAAAATTCAAAACCTTCAAATGAACTTTCAAACGACTGTTTATTTAAATTTGAATACTTTCCATCCCAATTCCTATCATGAAAATGTATTATCTGTATTTCTAATTGTTGTTGCCATGGTAACAAGTTCAAATTTGCATAAATAAAAAAAAATGAAAATTCAGTGAATATTGTCATATTTTGCATAGTTTTTTTCCTGGAAACTATAGAGCTCATGCTTGAACAAACTATGTATAAAAAAACAAGACGTATGCACCTATAATACATCTTTAGGAGAAATATAAAGTTTGCTCATAGCAAAGAGAAAAACTAGGTGAAAACCTGTCAAAATTGAATGAATATTCAAATTTCATTAATTTATGCAAATATTAACTGGTTACCATGGCGGCCATAATTGAAAACACAAATAAATGTTTATATGAAACTACTGGAGAAGTTTTCAAAATTAAAGAAACAGTCATATGAAAGTTTTATTGAACGTTTACAACTAGGAACTAAGGAGAACCAGCTTGTGAAATTTAAGAAAACTCTCTCAAGCACTTTCTAAGAAATAATAACAAACATCAGTTGTCAAGTAATTTTGATCAGCCTCAAAATTACCGGTCAATTAATTATAACCAATTACATGTACCTATTTAACTTGCAATAACCCCATGTTTGATGATAAGCCCACCCTTTGTTACAGATAAACCCATACTGTCTCTTAGTTCGCCAGTATCACGAGTCCCATAAGAGGTACCGTCTCCATGATCAATAGTCTCCCCCCGCCCCCTCCCCCCACAAGGTCTTACCGCCATGAAAAGTTCATTTTACCTGTTGATGTGGTCGCCACACTTACACCAGTTGAGATACTGCTAAAAGCTTTCGGACCATCAGATTCCATATCATGACCAGCCACTGAAAAATTGATAGATCATAGCTTAGCAAAGGACAAAAACAATATATTAAATACATTATCAAAAGCATAGAATAAAACACTGACTGAAGGCACAATGATAGACAGATGGACAAACAGAAAAAAAGACAGAAGGCATGGGACACAGGAAAAGGAATAATGAGAAACATATGGACAGACAGGTACAGATTGAACAAAGGATAGAGAAAACCCGACACAAGGACATACATATGGACAGATAAAGATAAGATAGAGACATAGGGGTATATTAATAGGCAAAGGGAAGAATACTGGTACATTAAGCTGATTTTAGCTCAATAGTAACACTACTTTTTATCAAAGGTTTGTTCGGACATATAAATCCTTAGATATTGTTGGGCTCTGCACGCTAATGTGGTTATTCATTCTGACAACAACATATTATCAAATACTGTGACACACAGACATGTGATGTAGTGACTATGGAGCTCTGGTACAAATCTGATAGTTATTCTGTGGTTTATTACACATGAACCCTTTACACTACACGTACACATTATGTTATACAAAGGTCAGCATATGGTTTGTCAAAAGTAAATTGAATGTGTGATCATTCTTCAATTAGACTTAAGTCAGTGTGCAATGTTTTTTTATAACCCACTGTTAGGCCAAAGTCACTGTAGCCAAACTGTAATTGATGACTGAGCTAGGCTACAAGTCACATTGACCTTAAATAAAGAGGTTTTAATATATATATAAAAACACTGTACATACACAGTCCTTTTTTGGTGTCCAGATTCCCCTCCTGTTTACGTCGGTAACAGAGACAGCATGCTATTACAGAGAGTAGGATGACAATCAAACACACAGCTAACACTGCTTGCATAGAAATACCTGGTAAGATAAAAGAGAAAAACTATGTAACAAAAATGCAACTTTCTATAGTAAATGCATAACATCATGTCACACCACTGCATGGATTTATATCAGCAGAGAAACAATTACAATACAGCCACGATTACAAACTAACAGTGATTTTAGTTCATTTTCATATAGCTGCTATAAAATCTAACGGTGTCAACCAACTGTAAAGCAGCCTCACATGTAGAATGCCAAAACTTGATTTCTTAAGGATACAAACTATCCCACTGCAGGCAAAACACTATAGTGAATTCCTCTGAGGTTTTTCGTACATACAGTTCTTATTTTGTTTTACTTTCCCTTCATTTGTTTTGGATATGACTGTATTGCAATTGGGACAGGGCACATCTTTTGACCAGGTATATGTAGCCATAGTATTTATCAAATTTGAGGTCCAGCGCTCAGAACATTTAATTATTTAACATGTGATTATTTAATCTTCATTTCATCTCTATCATTTATTCATAAAAGTCTGGCAATGTATTGTTTTCTTTCCAGTAATAATTTATCAAAGGTGTATGTGCATTGTTTCATTTTTGGCAGTTTAAGTAGCGGTAATCTTAAGCTTCTAACAGTCAAACAAATAATGGCTAGCATTAATCTTCTTCTATTTTGTGGTCCGATTCTCATCAACATGATGAAGCTCCAAGAGAATTGTGACAAAGTTCAGATTTGAACAGACACAACAAAATACCTGGTTGGGTGTAAAGAATTTTACGATACTAGGTAACTTGTGTCTCTGTTTATATGTTCAAACAAAGTCAAACAAGTTGGCTAGCCGTGTTTTTATCATTTATTATATATATTTTTAATTATTTTGTGTGTTAGATAGGTATAACCTCGGGTATTATTCCCCCAGCATCTTTGGGAGGGATGCCAGGGTTGGGGTGCCCCGGTATCATCCCTCTTACATAATATAGCCTCATGCAAAAGGCCTCTTTCTCTTCATTCTCTCTTTCTTTTTCATTTCATCTTTCAAACTCAGAATCATACATTCTTTCATACTCAAACTCAAAAATTCTGCTTTATTGATTTGGGATTGCCATATTGTCCTAAAATTAGACATTTATTATATCAACATGAGCAACAATGTAAGATATCAGAGCGAAAAAGATTGGTAAGCTAATAATGACAAAAGGTTTTAAACCTCCTGTCACAGATTACCAAATTTTCAAAACTTCACACAACACTGTATAAGATATTAAGGTTTCCTTGACAAACCTTCAGATCGATTTTCAGGGGGTGTTCCTTGAGCGGTAGGGTCATCAGGGTTCACAGGTTCATCAGGGTTCACAGGGTTTGCAGGGATAAAAGGTGTTGCAGTGAGCATAGAGGGGATGAAATCCTGACATGCTGACTTGTTTTTGTCTTTTGCTGTACAAGGGTAGCAATAGGAGTTGTCATCCAGGATAGGCCAGTCCTCGGAAATGTACCTATAAATATAACATAAATCGTATAACATATTCCATACAATAATATCAGGGAGAAATGTTATACATACTTTATGATACATATTACGATGGTTCTTTAAACTCAAGACAGTCCTGCAGTACAATACCTACCCTTCGCGACACTCCCCACACACAGTGTTGGTACGATTTGTCCCTGCTGTTTTCACCACACGTCCCCGTTTTCCACAATCTTTGTGGAAGTAGCAGGTGTAGCCGTCATACTCGTCCCACCTCCTGTCATTACTGTACTTGCCAGCAGGACATTCCTGACAGGGATAACAGTCCAGGCTACCAAACACCCTGTCCACGGTAATCTCCTGTAAGACAACAGATGTGATAACCACTTTAAACTCTAACGACAGAGTCAACATATGATCAGTGATGTAGGTAATCACTAAATCAGGAACATCCTTCATTTATTGTTCAGTATTTGGACCAATATTTATACCAACAACCAGAACAGCAAGGGCCTGCCATGTGCCTGACTTAAAATAAATAATAGTTATATACAACATTTGATATAGCTAATATAGGCCACTCTAAATCACTTCACTGTACATAGATATACAGTCAATACAATTAGCATAAACATTAATCAATACAATTATTTGAGGAATTCACAGGAGCTGCCAGTGCCTTATCAGGCGCTAACTACTAGTCCTATGCCACCTGGCTAATATTTCCCAATGTGTGTATGCCGGTGTGTGTGCTTGAGATGTAACATGTTCTGTTTGTAGGGGGACCGTGCTTCCAACGGCATCATTTATAGTGCCACTACACTTGAATGCTACAGCACAGATTCTGCAACATCCACCCCAGACAAATTTATACTCAACCAGCTGGGTTGTTGGAGTTGTGTGGGCAGGAGAAAAACAATTTCTCTGAATATCCATGCATACGATGACTTCAGGGATCGAACCCTGGTCGCCTGCGTGGAAGGCCGGATTGTCAACCACTCAACCAATCTGCCTACTTAGTAACTAGCCGGATTGTCAACCACTCAACCAATCTGCCTACTTAGTAACTAGTCTGAGTTTCTGGCCCCGACACCAGACTTAAGACATTTTGACAGATAGATGTCTGGCTTGGGGGCAGAGCGCACTGCTATATGAAAACGTGGAATTCTCCGACACCGTTTTGAGGTGCTGACAACAAAAATCTACTATGACACAACACATACCTCACATATATATATAAATGGATTATTTATTGATCCAAATCAGCTCTTATTATCACCAACAGCTGCAAAATTCCCTCAGTTGAGTCTTCGATTTTCAATTGTTCAAAATTTCCCATCCGAGCGAACACCATTTTTGTAGGTCACAGGGTGACTAATCAAGAAACCGTACTGATCCGGACTGAAAACGGAATTTATCTTTCTTGTTTAGAAGATTTCCGGACCCATCTTTTTGTTAATTAGTCATAACTGTGTCGGAGAATTCCGCATTTTCATATAGCTGTGCGCTCTGCTAAGGTCCAGAGGAAACTTGGGCTACTTAGTAACAACCCCCCGACCCCCAGTCTATTTTTTGGTACCAGTAACCTGGACCTCGCTAAATACAAACTTTTTATACCCCAACTATTGTAAAAAAAAAAAGAAAAAATTATTAGTCTTTTGGATTCGGAGATAAGGACCACATGTGCCCCCACCTCATGTTCTGCTTTTAGTAAAAAAGACAGACCACAGACAAAGGTCCATTTTTTATCGTTTACGAAACCAAATATCAGCCAACCATCAGATGATGGCGGGCTAATAAATATAGTAGTATTTGTATGTATATGTGCATGTGTAGTGAGAAAATCTTTTAACTGTAGTTGTGTTCATGTAAACACAGAATGAAGATAGATTCGAAAAAGGGGAGGATGTCCTAAAAATTGTTAAATTCCTTTATCTGCCATTATTACTTCTTTGCTTTTATAGACAAGTAGTCACTGGCAGTATACCCTGGGTCCCATCAGAACTCAGCTATGTGATAGTAGAATCACAGGAGTCTGAAATTCAGTCAAAAGTTAATAATAACACCACAGAATAAGATTGCTAAGTCTGTGATACCAAAAAAACCATAATATGCTCTGAAGAATAAAGCATTATTATAGGGTCTTTTTGTATTTCTGTTATAATTGATTTTTGACAGAATTTCAGACTCCTAGTGTCAATGAATCATGCTTGTCTATCTAGGTATGCTGTAGTATCATATTACTGTACTACGTGAGTAATATATATATACAGACACTTGGTGGTGACAATCCTCCAGACAGCCTAACCTCGCTCTCATATTGTTTATACGTGCCTATAGTGTTACATATTTCACAATATACCTAACTGTAAACAACTTAATTTCAGATCCTTCAGTGCGAGTGTGTGTGTGTGTGTGTGTGTGGTTGTGAGAATAAGGTCTCAATAACAGCATGTTTATATATATATAGGAATCATGTAATAACTAGCTACATATATACGTACATCAATAATTATTTTTGGAATAAACAGGTATTTTCTTGTTGGTAGTATATACGTCTATGGTTGTATGATGAAGTCTCCACCATTTCAACAATGCTACCTTAAGAAACTTTGTATAAACCTTCCACCCCTATGTAACTTTAGAAGACTCTACCATGCATTGATCTGGATGAGTCCATTATGGTACTAAATAACTACAGACTTGGACATATTCCGAGGTATAAGTCACTGATGAATATTTATTGATGCATGTCATAAAAATAGTGATAAGTAATGAGATTTATTTTACATAAAAATCATGTCATATACATAATGATAAATAAATGATAATTAATAGATTTGTTTATTCAGTAACACATATATAATTTAAAATGAATGATAGATCTAAATGTTGTATAGATATATATATTATGATATACAGATAACATATTTGCTTTATTAATTGAATGTTAAGTAAAAAAACAACAACAATGTAATTGTTAAATGAATAACAAATTATTTCAATATATATGTGTGATGTAATTTATATATATAAATCATTTATAATGTTTAATATATGCATTACTATTTCACAAATGCAATTTTTAACCAATATTTATACACACAAATTTAATTTGTAAACAATAAATAACCAATTAAATAGATTTATTTTTTTATAATTTTCATGTCATTCTTAAACTTTATGGTAAACGGATAACAATAGAATTTATTTCAATTAAGGATTGTTTAACATACGGATCAATCAGGTGTATATAACACTAAAACATGGGTATTTCCACATTTCCAGCTACAACGTACATTGTATAAACCTTCAAAAGGGTGATAATGATTGGTCGACCACTCAGATTTGTGTATTCAATGTAAACAAAAAACAAATCAGGAGGCAATGACTCTACTAGTTAAGATGCCACTCCTTGAAAAACGTTAATGGAAAATTTACAATGGTACAAAAAACACTGCATGGATTTGAAATGGAAAATTTCTCATGTGATATAGTGACAGAACATTTCACTGTTTTTCATCTATTGATAAATGTCTCGTGTGTGACACACGTGTACACTCAACACACTGACTAGTATGTGTAGACATTGTTTACTAAATAAAAGTCTTCAGAGGAAGTGTGAATGACGTGTTATAAGTTTCAGTAACATACAGAGACATGCATCATGGTTTCAATGTAAACACCTGGTATGGTTTATGTTTCTGAATATATACTACAGGTACTTATATAGCCTCGTCTGTCAATAATATAATTATATTATAGGTGTATAGACAGACGATCGAGGCAGCTGGTACCTGTACAAGAGGGCCTGTATCATGGCAAAATATTCTCCAAATAAGATCTAAGGGAATGGGCCAGACCCCAAAGTCAATCCTTGTAGCATATACATCTGTATTAGATTTTTCATGCCCAGCAATTTTATGTATAGTTATGGGGTGGGGATCACAACTGTTTCCAAGCTGTGACTCAGAAACTAGGACCCTAGGTTGTGGCCAGACCCCAGGGTCTATATATTCTAATATCATGACTGCATTCGTCTCTTGATGCCCAGCTTTTGAATATATAGTTTTGGGGTGGGGATCTCGACCGTTTCAAAGTAATTATGACTCAGGGACTATGTCTCTAAGGGTGGGACCAGACCCCAGAGCCATCCTGGAAGCTTATGTGCATTCTTCTCTTAAAGCTCAGCAATTGTATATATGGTTATAGGGTGGGGATCTCAACCATTTCAAAGTAATAAACTATTTTAGGGCCCACCCCTTAGCCCCCCGGGGGGTTCAGCTCCGGTGAGCTTGGTCCTTTGGACCGGTAAGTTAGAAAAAAAAGTAAAAACATTTACAGTACTAGAAATTGTTGGCTGACGGGCTTTTCACTGTAAGGGTTACTTCCCTTACACCAGTAGTAAAAGTCCTGGTATCTGGTAAGATTACATGTTCGAATTTGACCTCTATCAAATACCGGAAGTTGATCTTTAATGGTTATTTATTTCCATTAACCATGTAGCCCATCATCCTAGCATGCTACAGACCAAATATCAATACCCTGGCCATTTCCGTTATTGAGAAGGAGTCTTTTGAAGATTTTAACATAATTGACCCCAGTGACATTGAACATTGGTCAAGGTCATTCATATTTTCAAACTTGATAGCCAATTACCTGACCATGTTATGTATGAAATAGTAGGGCTCTAGACCTTGTGGAACTTAAGAAGAAGATTTTTTAAGGTTGGTACCCAATATAGTGCATTTTAACTTTGACCCCTGCCGAGAATCGGAAGTTGACATTTTTTGTTAAAACAGTATGAAAGAAAAAGTTTGCTCTTGGCTATCTCTATATGATATTCAAAGATCAACCTCGTGTTTGATATCGATAACGAAATATATTGGTATAGGCTGTTAACCAATCAGAGTTCGTGGCGGCCATCTTGGAATATTAATGGCTCCAAAATGTAACATAAGTTCGTAAGGGCCCCTATAGGAATACATGTACCAATTGTGGTTAATATTGCAATGGCAGAATTGGAGAAGAAAATCGTTGAAGTTTTAACATATTGTCAGCATTTTAAAAGATCAAAGGAAATATTCAAAATGGCGTACAACGTTAACGGTAAATGTTACAGAAAAACTAAAGACATCGAATTCATCGGAATGACATTCTCCATCGATCTATTGAAGAATTCTGTAAAAAAAATGAAAAATGAATATTTTTTAAAAATTGTGACCTTTGACCCAACAGCGAACTTTTTCATTTGACCTTTTAAGTAATAATATACGATGGAAAAAAGTTAGCCCTGAACTTTATCTACAAATGGTGTCGGTACTTAAACGCTGTAAATTCAACTGTGTTTGAGTTATAGCCATTTTAAGATTTTTAAGGTATGACGTCATGGCGGCCATTTTAATTTTTCAATAAAGTTGATTTTTTTTTAAATGTTAGAGAACATCTGGGGAAACCTCGTTCATAACAAATAAATCAAATATTTGTCATTGATATAGGAGTAAAACAAGTTTTAAAATATTGCGAATTTTTTAAAAGATCAAAGAAAATATTCAAAATGGCTTAAAACGTTAACGGTTAACGTTACAGAAACACTAAAGACATCAAATTCATCGGAAGGACATCCTCCATCGAGCTGTAGAAGTATTTTTCCAAAACAATGAAAAATGAATGTTTTTTAAAAATTATGACCTTTGAGCCAACAGCGAGCTTTTTGATTTGACCTTTAAATGAAAAACCATGTGGTAATTAAAGTTAGCCCCTAAGATAATCTACATATTATATAATTGCGTCAATTCTGTAAATTAAACCGTTTTTGAGTTATGGCTATTATTAGATTTTGACCTATGACGTCATGGCGGCCATATTTAATTTTTGACCACCTTGAAAATGTTGCTTGATCAGCTTTAGACCTTTTCCTACAACATACTTAAAAGACTATAAATCTCTCGTTTACCAATCAAAAGATACAGATTCCACAAAGTACGGAAGAATAATAAGAAGAATAATAAGAAACTTAACAAAAGCAATAGGTCTTTTCACCAGTTGGTGAAAAGCCCTAATAAAAATAACAAACATAAAATCCCTGACATATCTAGATACTTTCTAATTCCTTGACAGATAAATAGTAAACACTACCTTTGTTTTATTGAAGAACTGGCCCGGAACACACTTTGGACAATCCACACACCTCCCCTTCTGGAACATGTGTTTCCCAGGAGGAGAACAGTAGGGAATTTTGCCTCCACAGACCAGAGGAATTAGGACCAGCATCGATATCAGGACCAAGTATACATATTGGCGGTGCAAACTCTGGTACGGCATCCACATAGCCATGCTTCCCAGGCAGAAGCACTAGCTGGAAAATCAAAATATCAACACAATATAATAAACTATAATATCTATATAATTACTGAATACTTATAACATTAGGAAAAGACTTATATGGTATGTAGACTTAGTCTGGTGTCTTATCCCTTTATTGATACATGTATGTCTTCAGTATTACATGTTATAATCTTTGTTTTAATAACAATAAAATATTTGAAATAACTTCAAACATATTTTTATAACATAGTTTGTATATAAGTACATCTGCTGATTTATTTATGTTCATTCTGCAGAGTTTGGAAGATCTAGATGAGCCTTGTATCTACACTAGCTATATATTGATACATATGAAACTGGACTTCAACTTGAACTGTTAGCTTTAAGCACGGAATTAGATTATCAAAGTCCATGCTTTTAAGCAAATATAAACATTTCAAATATATTACAAGTAAACAAATATTGTCCAAAGATGTTGTTAAATTTTATATGTGTATTGGAGGTTGGGGGTTAACATGTATAAGTACTGTGGGTGTGAATCTGAACTAAACTGTACATATAATATCTGTGTGTATGTTGACGGTTCACATCTTTGTCCATAATTTAATTTCAATTGTAATAAAATCTAATATACAATTTTTATTTACTTTTTATCTTTCAGTTCTGTTAATTCATATATTGTACATTAGGTATATATTGTTTATAATTCTCTTTACTCTGATCAATACTATAGATGCAATTAAAAAAAAAACTCTAGCTATTTGACATCAGTGTTTATTGATAGATAAAGTGGTACGCCAGTACCTAAAGGATGGGCACCTACTTCCTGTGTACACACTGTACCCCTAACAAGCCACAGGAACACTCCCTACACAGCCCTGTTAAGGAGTGTCACAGTGTGACTCACACTTAGATAGCACTATATAGGAGTCCCATGATTATGAAAAAGTGGCAGGCTTGGTTAAAACAAATATATATTTAGAAAAAAAAAGATAAATTGTTTCAATACTTTTTACTAAGTAAGATTTTATATACAGGCCTATAGATATCTCTGGATATTATGTTGGCCAGGTTATAAAAACACACATTTATTGTGTATTTCTTATTCATGAGTTACTATATTTCATATGAGATTTATTAAACAAGTTGATGTTTTCATTAATCATGACAACATTCATAAATCACACATGAAAAGTATTTAAATTTCTACATATCATATCACCAAGACATCTTATTGTAAACCTGCCCAATCTTGTATCCATTTCACCACTGTAGACCAAATTAACTCATCCAAATCAATGCATGGAAGAGTTAACTCAAGTAACATAGGGGTGAGAGGGTTACATATCATCAGAGATCAGGCCTTTGATACCAATACTTTTTTTCACCAATCAATGCCCAAAATCTGTCAATATCATTCCATTAGAAAAAACGCATTTGAATCTATAGTCTACATGACTACCAGTCGACGTATATGCTGCCGACAAAGTCATAGACATAGGGTCATTTACGTGTGGTTGTTTACAAGTTACGGTCGAAGTGGCACACGTGTGGGAAAGCATCAATGAACTAATCAAACTCGTAAAATGTATCATAAAGGTGTTTAAACTCACCTTCAATGAATTAGAACTTGTTCCTGTCAGTATTTCCTTGTGAAAAAATACAGAAAAACAACGTCTTTACTCATGAGTTCCATCGAAAGTTATGAATCTTGACTGATAACTAGATCACAACGCAACTTCTCGGCCAATTCCGGAATTGCCGGAATTGGCCGAGAAGTTGCGATTGGATCACAACAGAGACGTTTTCGTCTGTGATTGGCTGTCGTAAACGTCACCTACGAATGAGGGTGTGCATGTTTTGATCGTATTTCGTCACAACGCAATATCCTAAGTATAGTACTAATGTAACACAGGTACTAGACGAGGGTCTGTTAATACACCTGTAATATTATAGGTGTGTATTGACAGACGAGTATGGTACCTATTTTAATTCAGCGTAATTTATAAAAAAGAATGGATAATGAAATTAGTCCGTCTTTATTCCGAAATTATTACATCTAGTGGCCATTTTGTGTTATGTCATTGTCAATGTACATGTTTTGAAAACGTACGGTAAATTTTCAAAAAGTGTGCATCGTTGTCGCGTCACTTACTCCGGTTTAGTTATAATTCGTTTTTCCCTTCATAGATTAAATTAACTTATGTCTAAACAAAACTTGATTAATTTAATATCAATAATTTAAGCTGAAATATGTTGGGTTTACTACTGTCGCAAAATGTCGTGCCAGATACGTTAGTAAAAGAACATCCGTGATGCAGCCTATTACAGGCATTTATTATCGGTGAAATTGACAAAGGTATACTATATCGCATCTAAATCCATTGACATTAATTTATCAAGTATCCTGCATGAAAATCGGTATTCGTGGTTTGTCCGTTAAAATTTCAACAGATACGTGACCTGTATTTTTCTAATAAAACCATATTCATTGCCGTGGGGATTTTTTTACAGCTTATACGATAAAACGTAAAACTTTTACCGACCAGATACGTTATAAACAGATAAGATACGTTGTAAATGGATCTAAAATCGTTGCTTATAACAAAGATACTCTAGACCCTGGTTTAGTCTATAATCGTTGCTTATAACATAGATATTCTAGACCCTGGTTTGGTCTATAATCGTTGCTTATAACTAAGATACTCTAGACCCTGGTTTAGTCTATAATCGTTGCACATAACACAGATACTCTAGTCCCTGGTTTGGTCTATAATCGTTGCTTATAATAAAGATACTCTAGACCCTGGTTTGGTCTATACTCGTTGCTTATAACAAAGATACTCTAGACCCTGGTTTGGTCTATAATCGTTGATTATAACAAAGATACTCTAGACCCTGGTTTGGTCTATAATCGTTGATTATAACAAAGATACTCTAGACCCTGGTTTGGTCTATAATCGTTGATTATAACAAAGATACTCTAGACCCTGGTTTGGTCTATACTCGTTGCTTATAACTAAGATACTCTAGACCCTGGTTTAGTCTATAATCGTTGCTTATAACTAAGGTACTCTAGACCCTGGTTTGGTCTATAATCGTTGCTTATAATAAAGATACTCTAGACCCTGGTTTGGTCTATAATCGTTGCTTATAACTAAGATACTCTAGACCCTGGTTTGGTCTATAATCGTTGCATATAACAAAGATACTCTAGACCCTGGTTTAGTGTATAATCGTTGCTTATAACAAAGATACTCTAGAACCTGGTTTGGTCTATAATCGTTGCTTATAACTAAGATACTCTAGACCCTGGTTTAGTCTATAATCGTTGCTTATAACTAAGGTACTCTAGACCCTGGTTTGGTCTATAATCGTTGATTATAACAAAGATACTCTAGACCCTGGTTTGGTCTATAATCGTTGCTTATAACAAAGATTCTCTAGACCCTGGTTTAGTCTATAATCGTTGCTTATAACTAAGGTACTCTAGACCCTGGTTTGGTCTATAATCGTTGATTATAACAAAGATACTCTAGACCCTGGTTTGGTCTATAATCGTTGCTTATAACAAAGATACTCTAGACCCTGGTTTGGTTTCGTGAGATTTTGATGGGAACACAATTTGTAGTTAGACCTTTTACAAACTGTACTTGCATCAGCTGGCTTAGTTTCCAAGGGGAATATTTCCAAATCTTAGGAAATCCAGAGGCATGAATGCATATATAATAATGGTTAATTTGTATACGTCATTGCAGATGTTTAAATAAATGAAACTCCTATAACTGGATTTTTAAGGATTAATTAGTGAAAAGCTATGATAGAAAAGGGTGAGATATGTGAAATAAATTTAAGGATCACATCACTTTGAAAACATGTAATGACCTTTGTGACCTTGATAGTTGATAATAATAATAATAATTACAGGTTCTTATATGCCGCTTGATCACAATCTAGTTCGTAGGTCTTCTCAAAGCTGTTCACAAATTATTATCCGTGGTTATAGGGCCTTTGCAACCAGCCACAAACGAGTATGACGTCATGGCGGCCCTTTTTGTTTTTTGAAAGAAGTCAAAAAATTTACCAAATTAGGTGGGACATATGGGAAAACTTTTATACCATAGTCTAATGAAAGTACTACGGAGCCCCCGAAGGGACATGGTAAAACATTTACTAAACCGTGCGCACGGATTACCAACCCGTGCCCACGGAATATTAAACCGTGCGCGCGAATTAACAAACCGTGCGCACGGATTGCCAAACCGTGCACGCGGATTATTAAACCGTGAGCACGGATTACCAAACCGTGCGCACGGATTGCCAAACCGTGCCCACGGATTAACAAACCGTGCGCACGGATTACTAAACCGTGCGCACGAATTACTTATCTGTTCGCACAGGTTACCAAAAGTTTCCAAGTGTTCCTATTTCACATTATTCTATCAAAGTAATGGATGTTGGTCGGGGGATACATCCAATATCGGATCGATTTCTTTTGATGTTCACAAGAAGAAGTCAAGTACATAAGAATCAGTAGCTGTTTTGCTTTATGGCTCTTAAACAGGTAAGTTTGTCATTCCTGTTTTTCCGCCAGAACACAGTATTGTGTTGTTCACTCAATTTGGTTAACATCTAATCACCCTTACCTCCGCAAGGTGTTGATGTACACGAGCTCAATATATCACGTTATGAATTTGTTGACGTTTTGATATTCCTTCCATATAGTATGCGAATTTTCCTAATGTTTCGTATAGTTGAAATAATGACGTAAGATGTGTTAAGGTTAACTATGAAATTTAATGAGATAACTTTTGACATGACGACGGAATATTCTGAAATTTCTGTTCCGTGCACAGTTAAAAAACCTGATTTACAAGACATGAAAATTATAGTTTATACTTACAATACTGGTATATATATGAGATTTGAATGATAGGTGTCACGCATTGTAGGTACGAATTACCTGTGGTCAGTGTCCACCAGGTAGGCAATTATACTAATCCTGCTACGTAATGTGACGAACAATGGTAAATGAGCTATTCTAAGAAAGTTTGTATACGCAACTTCTTTAGAGGCTGAAGATAATAAAAATTCCACACGTCAATCTCATCTTAACTTTCATAAATGACATAGATACTGGCAGAGAGAATTGAGATTACTTACAAAGCCTTCCATAAAAGATATACTTTCCTCTCAATGGATTTTTTTTTTTATTATTATCACTCAGGCACACTATTGTGCGCAACAAGAGGTCATCATAAAGTACAATATAACAATGATATGGTTGACCGTAAAGCGTACAATAATATAGTGGAAACTATTACACTCCTCATACAATGATAAACACAATATTATAATAGACAGTATAACGCACTGATCATACAATGACACTCATCATACACTGTGATATACATTATTACACTCATTTTACAATACTATTACGATGGTATAATACATAGCATTACATTCACACATACCGTGCGTTCACACTATGGTATAGCAGGCACTGTTGCATCCATCTTACAGTACAATCCTACAATAATATTATTACAGTATTACACATATATTACTCGCACTCCATGATACATATATTATAGATAGTATACCACACCATACAGTGCAATCATACCATGGCATAATAGTGACTATACTACTCATCATACCATATAATATTACAAAGGTATAATAGACAGTGTTACAATCCCATCATACAATACTGTAATAGACAGATAACAAACAAACCATGATAAGCAAGCTGTAACCACACTCATTATGCAATACAATTATGTTAGGTTTAGCAAATGATCAGTAATATCTATATGTATACAAAAGTTTACAGTTTGATGTGTGAAATTCACATATTATTTTTTAATTGTCTTTCTAGTAATTGTATGAACAGCGATAGATTTGATAATATTCTAACATTACATATTGATATTAATCCTTTCATTTTATGAACAGATGGATTAGAGGTGTAATAAATAGGTATATATTTTCTGCGGATTTGACTTACATAAGCATTTGAACATATAAACAAATAATGATACTCGCTTCCAACTCCAGTAAAACAAAGCGGACAGATTCTGCCTTCACGTGGTGTTCTAGTCCATCGCCCAGTCTCTATAGGCAGAGATATATTACTGGTTCTGAACTTACAGATAGTTATTCTATCTTTTTGTTTGAGCATAGTTAAGTATTTTTCAAACTGAAATTGATGTTTAAATATTGCATATGTTTGACCCCGGGAAGAATTTTCAATATCAGTATACCATTGTTGTATAAATTGGTCATACAGAATAGTTTTAAAACTAACCCTAAGGTAATTTTTATTCATAGTGCAAGTTTTTTGTTGTAACCATACGTAACTTAGTCCCGTGCAATTGAATAGATTCTTGATATATGAAATCCATTTAAAATCAGCGAAATCATTTTCATGTAAATTCAGCATAAGCTTGTACATTATACTAGACAATTTATTTTCACCTGTAATTAGTTTATACCAAAACATTATCATTCTAGATTTAATTTCAATATTCAGAGGGTACCTACCCGTTTCACCATATACCATTATATTTGCTGTGGAGCTACGTATGTTTAAAATTCTTTTACAAAACTGTACATGTAATTTCTCAATCATATTGGTATTTTCAAACCCCCAAATTTCTGAGGAGTACAAGAGGATTGGGGATATTAATACATCAAACAATTTTAATTGTAGGTCAATTGGTAAAATAATATTTCT